GAGCTACATTGGCCTAGTGGACAGAAAGTGATGCTACCAAGCTCAAGGTGAGTGATTTTAATCTGTGGCCCTCAGGCCAGGTTTAAATTGTTTTTTGTCAAACATTCTTCTAGGTGGTATAGCACTGGTGTGTGCATTGCTGTACAGAGGTAACTCATGGTTGTTGTCATGGTAAACACTGTGACACTGATTTGCCAAATGTGATAGCTACCCATGGTGGACAGTGTTTGGTGGAGCTTTCCAATTAAAACAAGCTTGGAAGCAGGAGTGGCATACACTTCTGAAATGGCTTGTCTCTGGAAACTCTATGAACAGTGCTCAAGGCCTTTTGTTCATAGGGTCGCTATGAGTCATCTATGACTCGATGGCACTTAACAACAACAACAATAACATAATCATCAATTACTGATAACAGTGAAAAGAATAGGAATTCCAGAACACTTAATTTTTCTTATGTGGAAACTGGAGATTAACTAAGCAGCAATTCAAACAGAACCATGGGGTGCTACATAGCTTAAAATCAGGAAAAGTGTGCCAAGGTTGTGTCCTTTCATCAAACTTATTCAATATGGTACTGAGCAAATAATGTGAGAAGCTGAACTAGATGGATGTGATGTAATGCGTGAAGAGTATCACGACGGGATTGTCAAGTTTTACCATCCCACCAGGTATGAATAGAACAGGCTTAGTAGAAGAAGATGAAGTAGAGAAGGCCGTTTGTGTCGTTTGGGGTCAGAGATTCCTCTGCACCTCAGCCTGGGACGTCCATAGAGCAGTAGCAGCAACAGTGGAGAACCAGAAGCTGACATGAGACAGAGCTGAATTGGAACTGCTTCCCCACAGAGCCAGAGTCAAGGCCCTTCTCAGGCTGGAGGACTGGGGGAGATGCCATAATTGGTAGGACTAGGAGAGCTTTGTAACACTGAACCAAAGCCGAGAGGTTGAAGCAAAGGGTCTGTGAACATGGTTGAGATGCTGTCCTGTCTCAAGAATTATATCTTGTTTCCAATCTTAATTTTGGTCTGTTACCTTCCCTGATAAACCTCATAACTATGAGTATGGTTTTGTGAGTTCTGTGTGGCCATTGCAATGAATTAGTAAACCTCCTAACAGAGCAGTGAGAGCCCTGGGGACAGTTGGTGTTAACGACAATTGTTAGAAAAAGGTTCTGGGATCACGAGGCATGCCTGACCTCATGAAAATCTGTTTTATACAGTGGGTATTGTGGGTAGGCACAGTCCCTGCTTGGTAGAGTGGGTATCAGACGTGGCTGTCCCCATTCCATCTGTTCTTTTTACAGTGAAGAAGAATGTCGCATCAGGATTAGAGAAAGACTCATCAACAACCTGTGTGTGCAGATGACAAAATCTTGTTTGCTGAAAGCAAAGAGGACTGGAAGCACTTACTGGACAAGATCAAAGACTATACTGAGTTATACCTTAATAACAAAATCCCCAAATCTTCACACCCAGACCAAGAGGCAATATAAAAATAATGGAGAAAAGACTGATGTCAAATATTTAATTTTACACGGATCCAGAATCAAAACTCATTGAAGCAGCAGTCAAGAAATCAGATGTATTGCATTAGACAAATCTGCTGTCAAAGACCTCACTAAAATGTTCAAGAGCAAGGATGCTGCTTTAAAGATTAAGATGCATCTGACCCAAGTCACAGCATTTTTCTATTGTTTGGTATAGATGTGCAAGTCGGACAATGAATAAGGAAAACTGAATAAGAATTGATGTCTTTGCATTGTGGTATTGGTAAAAGGTATTGCATATATAATTAACTGCTTAAAAGAATAACAGAAATATGTTTTGGTTGGAAGTGCAGCCAGGGTGCTCTTTAGGAGCTAAGATAAAGAGACTTTACCTCACATGCTTGGGACATGTTGTCGGAGGAGTCTCAAAAACTCATCGGAACCAACTCATAACTGACACTCCAGTGGATTTTCAGAGGATATAAATCACACGGGAGATTGCACCTCTTTCTCCCTCAGAGCAGCTGGTGGACTTGAACCATCTGCCATTGGATTGGCAGTACAACTCCCTACTAATCAAGCCATTCCCTCAAGAGGAGTCAGTCCCTGGAAAAGGATAGAAAGACTGAGTTGGATTGACACAGTACTGCAGCAGTCGCTTGAGCACACAGCACATGGGAGATTGTGGGGATGGTACAGTATTGGGAAAGGTAGTTGTATGGTCGCTGTGAGCCAAAGGGGACTCAGTAGTGTAACCACAGCAGCCTGTGGAAACCCCTGGAAGGGTGTGGCTCTTGTGTTACAAATCATAGAGCCACGATCCAAACTAATGAAGCAAAATGGGAAACTTATTGGAGGGCTTCTTGAGTCAAACCTTCCATTCCTGGTATGAGAGGAGGATGAGAACATGATCTCTGTGGACTGAGGGCCAAAATAAAAGCTCTCTCTCATTGACAGATTTTGCTCAGGTGTCAGCTCGAGTCCATCTTGGGAGAGAGAATCCCCTACAGATATGAACCCGGTTACACTAAGACATGCACACAGAGTTGCTCTGGGTGCTGTATGGAAAGTGAAGTGATAGGAGAGATAATGGAAGTAGAAACGAGTTATGAGGCAGTCCAGGCTGCTGGGCTTGGCAGAGGGCAGTGAAGGCGCAGAAGTGTGACTGGCTAGCTCCTAGGAGGAGGAGGCGGCTGCTGGTGACATAATTTGAGTTGGTGAAGGACAGGATGGAATAGGGAGTGAGGAACACAGCAAGACTGAGTCCCAGGTTTCAGGACTGGGCACAGGGTGTGTGGAAGTGTCATTCATGGAGATGGAAAAGCCTGGAGGGATGTGTGTAGGGGACCTCCATGGGGTGATGTCAGCTGGACACTTGGATCTGGAGTGCCTGAGAGAACAGGGCGGGAGATGGGGCTTTGGGAGCTGCTGGTCTTTTTAAAACCCTGGGAATGCACATGATCCCTAGGGAAGTAGTAGGGCTGGGTTACCTGGAGGAGGGAACAGGGCCTTGGAGTATCTGGCAGAGGGGGATCTTAAAAGGAGGAGGAGCTGCAGGGGAGCCGAAGCTGTGGACAAGCCTGGAGGTGGAGTGGTAGTGACTGCACAGGGACTCTGGTCTGCATCACACGAGGGCCATGGAGACTCTGTCAGACGTCATTGGGCTGCAGCAGAGGCAGCCATGGGCTCAACTGGAGTAAAGAGTGTCAGCCCATGTGTGTTGTTTTGTTATTTGCCATTGAGTTGGAACCAACCTCGGGGTTGGCTGACCCTGGTGGGGGTTTTCAGAAGCAGTTAATCATAGGGAGGAGATTGCTCATCCTTCTCTCTTGGAGCAACTTTATAAGGCTTATAAATTGAGAGATGGCTTCTATTCCTCAAAAGAATAATTTCAAAAGATAAGACTTTCTCTTAGTCTAGCAGAGTAATTCATGATAGTCTTCTTATTAGACCAATAAAGCTCTTCTGCTGACATTTGCCTGCTCACTCCTGTAATCTATGCCCTTAACCCAGGACCTGTGGATGGTGGCCAGCTACCTCAGGACCACTGGCCAGGCTGGCCCAGTTGGTCCAATTAGTCTGAACAACCTGGACAAGAGAAGCTGCTGTGGAAAATGTTCTCACACTTCACTGTCATTTGTCTTGCCTAGAGAAGCCCCCACAAACTCTAAGACAAGGAGACTGATTTGAGGAATTCATAGCCCCTTGACACGTAGAGAGGTGAGGCTATTCCTTGGAAAGGGACATCATGCTTGAATATATGGGGTTCAGTGAAGGACAGGAAGACCCTTCAGTGAGATGGATTGACACTGAGACTTCAGCAATGGGTTCGAGGATCTCAGAGACAGAGAAGATGGCACAGGATAGGGTAGGTTCCAGGTTGGCTGTTCATAGAGTTGGTACTTGACTTGATGGCACCTAACAACAACAACCCCCACAACTATCCCTTGTCTCTGGTATACTAGTATATAATAAAACTTGTGCTTTCCTTGCTCCAGCCTTTGCCTCCAGCGTTGGTTCCCCTGAGTTCAGTGGCAGAGCCCTGCTCCTCCTACCTGTGTCATCAGTTCATGCGGCCTGGGCTGACTGGTGCAGGGGAATCGCACGGCTCACAGTTGCTGTTTGGTGCTGCCTGTCAACTGCTTCTCCTAGAGACCCTGCGATCCTTACCTTATCTCAAATCCTTCCATTACCTTATCTCAAATCCTTCCATTGCCCACCCAGTACAGGCATCTTGCTGACGTCCCCAGCACGTGTCTTCTCTGTCCTTCACACCCAGGCAGGCTCCCTCCTGCTCTGTGTCAGATGTCGGGCACCTGTTGGCACAGGCCTTGGTGCTGCTGCTGGAAGGGGCTCTAGGCTGTTTCCAAAGCAGACCAGGTGGGCACTAAGCCACCTTCCCACCTCCGTTTGCTGTTAGCCTTAGGGATGTGGAAAGTGTCTACCTATATTAATTCAGTGCAAGGAAACCTGTGAGAGTTGAAACGTGTGGAGACTACCTTGTTGTTCTGTTGTACCTGTTGTTAGGCGCTGTTGAGTGTGGCTCAAAGTGCCCCTATAAACGACAGTTCTGAACCGTGTCCTGTGCCATCCACATCATCTCTGACCCGTGTGAGCCCATGGTTACAGTTAATCCATTTCACTGAGGGCTTCCTCTCTTTCGCTGATGCTCCACCTTTCCAAGCATGGTGACATTTTCCAAGGACGCAGAGAGGACAAGAAGGGCAAACTTTAAAGAGTGCTCTGCTGTGTATCTCTCAAGCCCATTGTTACGAATGTTTCCAACATTGGTTTTTTAAACCATCTTACATTTTTTAAATGGCTGTAGGAAGTCCACGCTCGCGGGGCCTGAGTTCGCCCTGTACTTTGAGCTCTGAGGCACAGTGAGCTCTGCAGTCGTAGAAGGTGCACGGAGCAATCCGCCGGTCTCTGCTGCCCCCTCGTGGCAGCCTGTGTTAAAGCGTCCCCTGCTCACCCTTCTTTTTGGGGTGGTTGGGATTTTTTTCTGCCCCCCCAGAGGAGTACCAGTGCACTGGCATTCTGGAGACGGACTTTGCTGAGCTCTGCGTGCGATCAGGCTACACGGACTTCCCCAAAGTTGTCATCCGGCCCCGGACTCACTCGACGTTCGTCCCATCTGCCTCCATGTTGGAAAAACCCGGTCTAGGTGAGTGACAGTGAAGCCTCCACCCTACCCAGAGTCCTGGCTGGAGAAGCACCCCTCGCCCCCTGCCCCTTACACCTCTTTGGTGGGAATTGCCAGGGTCTCCCTGAGCCTGCAAGAGGCTCTGCCCCTGACCCCCTCACCCTTCACCTTGCACCCCCCTGCCTTTCAGAGGAGCAGCAGCAGCAGCAGCAGCAGCGTCTGTCAGGATCCTGCAGCCTCAACAGTGTGGAGAGCAAATATGTGTTCTTCCGGCCCACCATCCAGGTGGAGCTGGAGCAGGAGGACCCCAAGTCGGTGAAGGAAATCTACATCCGCGGTGAAGCTCCCCACGTGGTTTTCCCACTACCCCCCCTCACCCCGCTGCCCTCTCCCAGACTCTTCTGCATCTCTCCCTTGTACAGGTTGGAGGGTTGAAGATCGAATTCTGGGCATCTTCTCCAGATGCCTGCCCTCCCTCAGCCAGCTGCAGGCCATCAAGTGAGAGGCTGTTTTTGGGGCTGGATGGGAGGCCACTGTGGAGAGGGGATAGTGAAGACCCTGGGTTCTGTAGAGAGGTGGGAGGGTGAGATAGGGTGTGACTGGGGGGAATAGCCTGGTGTCCGGGTGGCTGGGAGTTTCCGGTGAGAGGTGAGACCCTAGCTCTGCTCCTCTACTCTCTGCCAACTCCAGCTTTTGGAATGTGGGGCTGACTGATAAGACGCTGACCACCTTTGTTGCCCTTCTGCCTCTCTGCTCATCCACACTCAGGTTAGAAGGAGGTGGGCAAAGGCGAGCCCCAGTGCTGGGCCACGTGAGTACGAGAGTGACGAATCCCAGTTTCTGTGGGCCTGGGATGGCATCCCAGTGACAGCTGGGTGGAGCCAATCAGGAAGCTGGGTCATGAAGTCCCCATCTGACAAGAAGAGGGGTCCCCTTACTGCCCACCCCAGTGCCTGATTCAGTCTCTTATCAGTCCCATCACTGTCCTGGAGGTTCTGTTTTCTTGGTGCTGCACTTGTCCTCTGGGAACTTGCAGTCCACGGGAGGAGATAATTTAGGAGTGGATACTGCAAAGTCGTGTGAGCGCTGTGGTGGCCGAGGAATGACTCAGGGGGTGAGGTCTTTGACACAGACTATCACCAGACAAAGCGGGTGATGTGCTGAGTGTGCCGGAGAGCATTCAGAGGAAAGTCAGGCTTTATAGAAACAAAACTTGAAAGTGACAGCCCATCAGTGGTAGCATATCCAACTCCCACTCAAGAGATACAGAAAGGTGTGGATACCAGGAAAAAGGACCACTGGGGGCCATTTTAAAGGCCACCTTAGCATCGATCACTAATTGGGGAGTAACCCCATTGCATGGCTACTATTCTTGATTTGTAATCTGGGAAACTGTCACATGTAATTTCTATATTGGGCACCATCCCTTGACTCCATGCTCCCTAGAGACTCCTACTCTCTGTCCCCCTCCCTGACCCGGCCTCAGCAGTCCTCCTGGTTCTCAGTTCTCTCATCCTCAGGAAGGTGTCCCTGGAGGGGAACCCACTGCCGGGGCAGTCATATCACAAGCTCTTGGGGCAGGACAGCACGTGAGCCTCCTTTCTCACCCTCTTGTCCTGGGCCCGTCCCCCTTTCTGAAGTCATCCTTTGATCTATGCTTCTTTTTCTCATTTAGCATGCTCCCAGGATCCCCTCAGTTCAGTCTCTCTACCTTAAGACCAAGCGACCCCCCTCATGCTCTTCTTGTTTTCTGAGATTGGACCCTGGATGTTCAGTGACGCCTTCCCCCTACTGTTTTAGGATTGCACATTTGTCTCTGAGGAACAACAACATCGACGACCACGGGGCACAGCTGCTGGGCCAGGCTCTGTCCACACTGCACAGCTGCAACAAAACTCTTGTCTCGCTCAACTTGAGCTTCAATCACATCGGTGACGAGGGCGCGGGCTACATCGCCGATGTGTGTGCGCACGCAGCCGGGAGGGCGCGGGGCGGGGCCGGCGGGCCGCCTCACGCCCCTCCTGCCTCCGCAGGGCCTCAGGCTGAACCGCTCGCTGCTTTGGCTGTCGCTGGCGCACAACCACATCCAGGACCAGGGCGCCCTGAAGCTGGCAGAGGTGCGTGCGCTGGGGGTGTGGCCTGACCGGCCGGCCGGGCCATCTGACCCGCGGGTGCCCACTGTCTAGGTCCTGCGCCCCTTCGAGCTGACACACATCGAGGTGGTGGAGCGCCGGCGTCTCCTGCTGGAGAAGGGGACGCAGGAGCGATTGCGATCATCGGTGAGGCTGAGAATCCTTCAACTTGCTGCTTCCTACGTTAGCAGCTTCTCAGCCAGCTGTCCAAGTCGCCCTCTTTCGAGCCTCTGTCAAGGCTAACGTTTGCTAAGCAGTTTCTAGACTTACACCTGTCTCTGCTAAAAAGCGCTGGGGGTTTAGTGAGTAAGGGGTTGCGCTGATTACCTAAACGCAAACAGACTGCATACCAGCTTGCTCCTTGGTAGAAAGACAATCTCCTCCCATGTGATTTACAGCTTCAAAAACCCCGCCTCCCGATTTAACAACTTGGCATATCTCTTAACTCTGACACCCCACCCCCACCCCCACCCCGTCCGCCTCGGTCTTTTCATCTGTGGAGATGTAAAATAAGGTTATTGAAAAAGTTAAATGAATTAATTTATGTGATACATTTAGAATAGTGCCTGGTACTTAGCTCGGTAAAAATTAGTTACTTTTTTCTCTTCAAAATTAGAGTTCTTCATCAGCTCACTCTTAGGCCCCTCAGCACTTTCTTTCCAACACCTCTTCATCTGGTGGAGGGAGCTGGGGGGCGGGTTTTTCCCGGAGTCCTGCTCACCGCCTTTGGCTGTCTTCATCCCTTCTCATCTGTGAGTTCAGCCCTCCTCCTCGCGACACGCGGACTTCAAAGGTGAACGTGATAAGGCTCAGACATCAGGGATCAACAGTGTGGCACTGTCAGACAAGCCGGATAAGATGCTGACCATAAAACTCCCCAGGAGCTTGAGCAAGAAGAAGGAGAAGTCAGGGGTAGGTGTGCTGTGGGGGAGAACAGGGCAGAGCTGAGGGTGGAGCCGGGGTATGTCAGGGGGACTTTGGAGGTCCTGACACTCAAGAACCCTGGCCTCTTCCCACACCAGTTCCCTGTCCCCTTTCATTTCTAACACCCTCACAGGAAGTGGTCAAGAAGGAGGAGAAGTCAGGGTCTGGGCAGTCCCCCACACAAGGAACCTTTAAGAAAGAAGATTCTTCAAAGGCAGGCAAAGGGAGTAAGTGCCAAGGCTCCTCTGCCAACCCTCTCCTGGGGGGGGGGAACCTGAAGGGACAGGAGCCTCTGCGTGCCATGAGCTGGTCCCGCCATGCTCTCTGGGCCCCCTCCTGGCCGATGCATCTTTACACTCCTTCCCTCTGTGGTCCTGCGCGCAGAAAACTCCCCTTTCCTAGTGCGGTTTCCTCTGTTTCTACTGCACCCAAACTCAAAGCTGTTTAGGAGGTCTCTGCACCACCCCAGTCTCTCTGGGGAGCCCGTCTTCTGTGCTTTCCGCTCCTCTTTCAAACGCAGAGGTATCTGCCCCGGAGCAGAAGCCACCCAAGGGGAAAGGGACCAAGACTGGGAACAAAGAGAGGCGGAGCATCCTCCTGGAGTCAGAGGTGAGTTGTTAGCAGCAGTGGGGGCTTGCTTTCACCTGAGTCCCTCCTGAAATGTAGTTTCCAGCTCTGTCCTCTCACAGCAGCCACAGGCACTCAGCTTTCCTCTTTTACTCCTGCTTTGACCACACCTGAAACACCCACACAGTGGAATTCACTTCAGTGAAGGTCTCCCCTTCAGTTTCAAGGTGGCCCCTTTCCTTGTCTGTTAGTAACCCATGCTTTTGACTCAGTCTCAACTCAGCCTACTTCCCAAGGGCCAGTAGTTAATCACTTGCTTGTATAGTTACACAGCAAACAACCTGCCTTATTATCCACTCTGGGCAGTTCCCTGAGAATGGCAGAGTGATTTTAATAGTCAGATTCTGCTTTGCCTTCAAACAGCCTTTCTCCTTGTATCTTCCCTCTCAATTGAGACCAACTTGCTCCTTGCTTTGGGGATCATGGGGCTGTCCACTCCTTGGTCCTCGTCCTCGGGTGAAGCTGCTTGAGGTTCTGTCTGTGCTACATCCAGCAGGATACCTACTCGCCTACCTCCCGTCCTCTTTCCTCCTTTTCTTTGGCAAGGAACGGCACCTAAGACCCCCTTCCTCAGGAGAGGGGGGTGGATATTGCATATTTTTATTTTTGTTTTGGTCAGCTGCTTTGTCTCATGAGCGGCTTTCACAAGGTCATCTCATCCTGCTCCCAGCATCCTCTCCTTCCCATCCATCCTCCAAGCCCTTAGGACACTAAGCAAAACCTGAATGTAACATACCTGCCATTTAAACTCCTCCAAAGCCTGTTTTCTTCACTTGCATCACCTTTTCTGGTCCCTTTCTTCTTAACGCCCACTTACGTTCACCTTTCGGCCTAGGGTCACCTCCTCCAGACCATTGTTGGCCTCTTAGACTGGGCCAGAGTTCCCTGTCCTCTGAAACAGCCTCTGCTAGCTGTCACACTTATGGATCACCTCCTCCAGACCATTGCCGGCCTCTTAGACTGGGTCAGAGTTCCCTCGTGTTCCCTGTCCTCTGAAACAGCCACTGCTAGCTGTCACACTGTGCTCCCTGCTACTATGCATTTTGGTTTCCCCCAACAAGGTGCTCCTAGTGCAGGTGTAGAAATCTCTGTGAGCAGAGATGCGGGCTGACCTCTCTCCTCTGCTGCAAATTCCGCCCCAACAGCTGGTTTCCGAAACAACGGAAATGGTCAACCCGCTCCTGGAGCCTGTGGTGCATCGAGATGGCAAAGTTTACATGCCCGGGAACAGGGTCCTTCTGCACCTCAACCTCCTCCGTATGTTAGCCAGACAGGGCTCCCCATCTGTCCCTAAGCCTGCTCCGCAATCGTAGGCAGCTGAAGCTGGTTCTCCCAGGATTGAGCGGCATATTGTCTGGGACCTCCTGCTCCCCATGTGGGGAGTTGGGGGACGGGATCCTGAAGCATCATGGAGCGTGCAGGGCTGACCAGAATGTGGAGGCAGGAGAGGTACTGGGGGAGTAAGTGTGAAGCCACGCTGCAGCTTAAGAGGGCCTCCTGTGTCCCCAGGGAACCGCATCACCGAGGTGGGGCTGGAGGGCTTCCTCACTGCAGTGCAGTACCAGGTGCAGTTCGCCAAGCCCAAGGGGGTGGTCAAGGGCCCGATGGGGCTGCTCTGCTTGTCTCTGGCGGTGAGTCCACGACCCTCCCAAGCCATTTCCTCACCACACCAACACCTCTAGCCCTCTTGCTGCTTAGTCGGCAGAGCTCTATGGCTGCTTCTTTCCCCTGCCCAGAGAAAATCTTCTCGAAGAGGACTTAGCATTAGCCTTTTTATCAGCCACCAGCCTTTCTTTTCCTTCCAGAAAAATTACTTCTCCCCGCAATGTCCTGCGTACATCATGATCCAGGAGCTGATGATGTCAAGGGACCCCATAAGCAAGGCCAAGCCCAGGGAGGAGGAGACTGTGGCCTTCTCCCTCTAGCAGCTGCCCCCATGTGCCTGGGTTTGTCCTCCCCTGGGGAGTGAAAGTCACGGGGTGCTGGGAGGCAGGGTGTAGCAGACCAGTAACAAAGCCTGTGCTGCACTCCCCTTACAGCTGTCTGAAAACTTTGTTCCAGACTTGGAGCTTTTGGGTTGGGAGAGACTGTGGATGTCACACTGCCAGAAATGGCGGAACAGGGATGCTCCGGATTGTTTCAAGTTCTGCTGGAGGAGCTAACACTTTCACAGATCTCCAACACGGAGCACAGCTCACAGGCTCAGTGATGAACAGTCAGTCCCAGCAACCCCAGCCCAAGTTCTAAGCCTCAGCAAGTCCCCACGATTTCTTAACATACAACTATGTTATGTTAGGTTCTTGAGTTAAAATACTAGCTACTGAGAGCTGGAAGAGGATGTGTCATTTAATCTCACAGTGAAGAGAGGTGGCAGGGACAGAGGTTCCCAGTCCTGGTGACGTGGGTGTGCCGCCGTGCTCTTCTGCGGGGACAGCTAATCTCAGGAGGATGAGGGGACACAAGGACTAGGAGGACGCTGGGCTGGCTGTTGCCGTAGGTTTTACCTAAAGCTTGTGAGCACAGCTCCTGGGCGGTCTTGACACTGGCCCACTGCTCACGTATGAGCGCACTGTGTGTGTGTATAGAACACGGTGGTGTCTGGTTGTGGGGGCTGCGGGACCCCAGCCCTCAGCTCAGTGAGCACACACATGAAGCTCTGGGAGAGAGGAAGGTGAGGTGGGGGCTGGGGGTCAATCTAGGAGGAGAGGAGGTGGTCTGGGGCCTTCCTTTAGTTTGCTCTAGTCAACTCTAATCAGCCTTACGGGGTAAATGAGACCCTAAATATCTTTTATCAGATGGCTCCAAGAATCACACAAGACCACGGTTGAAGAATATTTAACTTTTCTTAAAAAAAAAAAAAAATTAACCATGAAAGGAAGAAAATAAGAGTATACATTATCTTAACAGCAAAACAGTCATTTCCATATCTGTATTTTATATATTATATATATATATTTATATATATATGTATATATACACCTAGCACAGTGTGTATATTCTATTAGTCAGTGGGGAGAGGAGCGAGGACTTGGCAATCAGTCCGTGCTGTGGCCTCCAGCATTTACATCCCTGCCCCCGACCTCTTGGGCCCAGTTTTCAGCTCCGTACCTGATGCACTGGTTTCTATAGGGACAGACAGGGCAGAGAAGCATTGACATATGAGTAGGAAGCCCCAGCCCCCCATCTCTGGGGATGAGAAGCTCTGGAGGGAAGAGCACAGCTCAGCACCAAGCCCGCAGGCTAAGCCTGGCGGCCAGGTGGGTTGCAATCTGTGGGACCTGCTCTGGTCAACATGCCTCCACTGCAAGGCCTGGCGCTCCCTTCACGTGGAGCTGGGCTGAGGTCTGAGAAAGGGTCATTAACTGGGAGATACAAGTGAGCACCCTCTTCCCTTAGCAGTCTCTTCTGTAACTCCAGTACCCCAAAAACAGAAACAAAAAAGGTCAGAGTTATTTACAAGAGCAAAGATGCACATACAATACATACATATTTATAGGAAACCAAAGTGACAAAGGAACACCCCTCAGCCTTGGGGTCCTGTGGAGAAAGGAGGGGAGAAGAAAGTGCATCGACACAGAAGACTCCTTTTGCTCGCATGTCTGAGGGAGGGCCCTCCACACAGGTGGACAGCACCTGGGATGAGGGGCAGACTTCAAGGGGGACCATTCAGATGCAATCAGCATGCTTAAGAGAAATGAGGCCTTGAGGGGTTGGGCTGAAGGAAGAGGAAAAAGACACTGAAACTTGACTCCGGATCAGACGAGAGGAAGCAACATGCCGGCTGCCTTCCCAGGCCTCAGCTGGGTCCCAGTTCCCCCAAGGCCTGGCTCCCATCAGGCGGAGGTCTGGAGCTCCCCATCCCAGGCCCTTGCTTTAGGCCAGTCTCTGAGGGACGAGGACCAGAGATGTGGAGGATTTGGTGGTTACAGTCCTGTTGACGTGGTTATGACTGTGGGTGCTGCCCTGTCTTCCCAGAGGGTGTCAGAGCCTGTGGGAAGGAGAGAAGGATGATGCTGGAACCAAGGCCCTGAGAGCCCAGAAGCGCATGAGTGCAGCTCTCCAAGCACCATTTACGGGTGACAAAGTGCTCTATGCCCCTATTGCTTCTCATGGGACCTGTAAAAGGGCGCTGACTAAACCCTACTTTTGTTCTGCCAGACTTTAAAGTCCCTTGTCTTCCAATCTCATTCTGAACCATTTACTAAGAAAATTGTGATTTTAAAATCAGGGTCACTCCTCTCAGATTGCAAGGTCCAAAGCCCAAGGAAAAGAGGATTCTACAGTTACAGTCAGCTCCTATGGGGTTTCTAAAAACAAAAACACCACCCCAAAAAACAAAACAAAAATCCCAAGGACCACCTTGCTAACGTGTGCAATTGATCATTTAGACCCCAAGGAGCATGACGAGATCATTCAAACCACCTTCTCACACTGCTTGTAACAAAGAAGAATCATTCCACTCACCATCTTCAAGACAGGGCTCAAGCTCATGGCTGTCCCCAGAATCAGAGACCAGGGGCTCCTTGGCTGAGGGGGAGAGGGAGCGGTCTGTCCACCTTGATGTCTCTGTGTGGAAACTGCCCACAGGTGTTGTGCCACCAGACGACTCTCCACCAAGGGACTTGACCAGTTCTCTGTGGGCCAGCTCCATGTCCTAGGAGAGGGGCAATGTCTCTGCTCAAGTCTTTTTATCATAAAGCCTTGTGCTCAGCCCTGGAGATAAGGCCATGATAGAGGGGGGTCGACAGGACACACTTCACTGATAAGGATGGTCCTGGGTGACAAACTGAGGCTTCCATGGACCTAAACCCTGCCCCCTCTCACCTTGAGCCTGTTGAGCTTGAGGGTGAGTTGCTCAATGGTCCGGAAGATCATGCCCACGTCCCTGAGGGCCAGGCTCGGGGGAGAGTGGCTGGGACACTGTTGGTCTCTATTGCCACTCTGCAGCCGTGGCTGAGGCTCTGTTTGCCAGGCAGGGAGGCTGTCAGGCTGGGAGGGACTGGTGGATGCCCTTGCAGGGTCAGTACTGGAGTCCAGGGGTCCTGATGGCATGCTGACATAAAAACAGTTCCCTGTACCCACAGCAAGGAAGAGAGATTAGGAAACAAACACAGGCTTTCCGCAACACCCAGGGTGTTCCCCGTGCAGACCATATATAGAACAGGGCCAGAGGGGGCCCACAGCAGGGCAGCCTCACCCTGCCTATCAGTTTCGTGAGCCTGTGCTCTCTAGAGCTTTCCTGGCAGGCAGTGATGCTCAGCCTACACAGGGCAGGGAAGATGCATGCCAGTGGGAGCTTGGGAGATGGCAAGGCTGCACTTGGGCAGGCAGGGTGAAAGGCTGTCGGTTCTCAGGCCCTTTATGAAGGAGCAGGCAGTAGTTTCTGTCACCTACCCATCACCTACCCCACCTCAGGTTTTGCTGATGGCTTCATCACCATCTCTGCCCCTAGTTATCAACTAGGCCATAATTCTGTGGATAATGAGACCATCAGGAGGAAGGTCCCCAAGGGTCCCTGGCAGGGCAGCAAAACACTGAGGAACCTGGGAGGCCACTGAAGCCTATTTCTACAGGGATGTCAGAGTGGTGGCTGGGGTGGGAGCAGTGGCTGCTGAGAATGCCAGAGGAAGGAGGGGAGGCACTGGTAGCAGGCTGGGCTTCCCCGAGTTACTTAGGACAGGACACACTGCTTGGTCCCACATCGCCCTAGCAAAGGTTTCTTAAAGCTGACAGCCAAACTCGATGGCACAGGACCTGCTCCCCTTTCAGTAGTTCCATGGCCTACTTCTCACTGGTTCCAGACAGCTGAGGAGAACATATGGCTGTGTGTGCACATGTGCCTGCAGACAGGGACCTGACTCCCAAACCCAGCTCTGCCCCCCATGTGCCAGACTCTACCCGGCCTGTCTGAGGAAAACTTTATTACCCGCGGCCTCTGTTCCGCTTTCCACGCCAGGCGGCCCAGCCTCTGACTGGCCACTTTCTGGTAGTGCAGGGATAACCTTGCTGCCTGCCACCTCAGCTGCACCGACACCACCACCACCACAGGGAGAGGAGACGGAGAGCAGGACAGAGCGAGAAGGAAGGGACAGGGTGGGAGAGAAAAAGAAAAAGGGAAGAACAAGTGAACACAAGATCATACATGGTTACAACCCAGGGTGCTACAGAGCACTTGTCCACCAATTCACCAAAAGACAGAAGGAAGGGCAGCTCCCAGAAACCCAGGAGAAGGCAGGCCTTGGTGGGTGGCTTGAAAAATGCTGCTGGAAAATGAGGCAGAGCCAACACGAGGGAGGATGAGTAACCCCTTTTACACTAACTCAGACCCCAGCTCACCCTGAGTGAGTAACCACGGCTTCAATTCACCTTGCCTGCCAGTACTCCTCAGACCAGCCTTCTCTCCTCAGTTTACTCTTCTAGGCCCAGAGCTCCTCTCTTTTGGGCTCCAGGCCCTGGTCAAACATGTCTTTGCCCTCATCTGGCTTCGCTAATAAAAGAAGCTGCCCAAGGTACTTCACAGCTCCAGGGCTCCCCACTACCTTGCCTTACTCCCCAGTGTCTTCCCAGCTTTGTCCTTTCTGATCAACTTCTGTCCCTAACTCCCTTCTCCATTTTCTCCCACTGTCTGTTCCTTCATCACTGTTACCTTTTCAGATCTCAAGCTTCTGAGAAAACCTACATCTTTTCTTCAGGGCTAGAGGATCAGAAGATACTAATGAGAAGGATTATTGATACTGAATTTGTGCCAAGCAGAATCCCTGTGTTACATACAGATAGAGGTTCAGGATGACCCAGCATTTTGTCCAAAGTCACAGTGACAGCAAATGGCAGAGCTCGGCCTCTGACCCTTGGTTGTGCATTCCCCAAGCTTTTGTCTGATCTCAACATGTCTCCTTTGCCTGGGACCCAGCGCAGGTCTCCGCTCACACGGTCCCAGGGGTAAATGCACGGAGGAAGCAGCGGAGAGACCTGCCTCCACCCTAGCAAAACTGGGCAACTGCCTCCCCTTGGGTAGACCAATTTCTTTTACCTTTTCTTACAACTCTGTAGCTTCCTACTGCCTCTGTGCCTGAAGCCTCTTCAGCTGAATTCCTATGCAGCTCAGAAGACTCCCAGATGTCAGAATTTCTGGTTCTGGGAGGCAAATGTTCTAGAGAACAGAGAGTTATGTCTTCCAGCTCTGGCTGGCCCCCTTCTAGACTGGGAGGCTGGGTGTTGTTCTCTTCACCCCCAGCAGGGGCCTGCCCTGGGGAGCCTGGATCCCACGGATGAGAAGTGACGCTGATGACAGAAGGGGTGGGTGTCAGGTCGTCCTCAGGTTCCGCAGTGGCTTGTGGTTCTGTGGAATTACTTGGCAGCAGACTCCATAGGATAAGGTGCCGCAGGTTCTCCACTGGAGGGAAAAAGGGTAATGGTTCTCCTGGGGTGGGACTGTACAGCACAGTGGTGGAGAGGGTGCAGAGCGAGCACAAAGACTGCTGCTTCCACCTCCATGCCAAACTGGTGAACCAGCTGTAGTCACAGGTGGTGCTGGGGGCATATGCCCCTATCAAGCACAGCCAGGCAGAACGTGTGATCAAGGACGGGATGTAGACGCACGCATGCTGGTCTACGTGTGCCAGTCTTCGGGGGCTGATGGCAGGATCCTTAGGGAACTTACCATCTTCCAGGGCTGACTCTGCAAGTCCTTCCATGAACAGAGGGCCTGGGAGGGGCAGGTGAATGGGATTCCTCATCCTGATGCTTGTGTTCTCTCCATCCAGGGGTGAGGGGGAGTGAGGGAGGGTCCCCAGTTTCTCGTCCTCTCCATTGCCCTGTTGCTCAGGATGCTCCAGTGATACCAGGTGCTTCCCTCTGGCCCTCTGCTGGGGTGCAGTGCCTACTGCAGAGGGGTGAGGACTGTAAGACAGGAAACTAGCGAGGGCAGGTGGGGCAGACCCCATGCCCAGCTTTACAGCCAAAGGACTGGGATACTGATGATTCCTTCCCTCCACAATGAGCACTTAGGCAGGCACTGTTCTAGGCTCTCACACACATCAGTGAACAAAATGAAGCTATCTGCCCTTAAAGGGCTTAAATTCTAGAGGAAAAACCTCACTGAAATAATGAAATAAGGGAATTATATATAGTTTGTTAGAAGGTTTTAAGAATTATGGAAAAGAAGAAAAAAAGAGCAGAACTGAGCTAGTCCACACTCTTATACTGTTTCCTTTCCTCATGCAGTTTCCTCCCAATTATCAAAACCACAGCCTGACACTCAGAGCTCTGCCTAATTTGGTTTTGCCTTTTCCCTCTGTATCTCTTACCATCACCCCAACCCCATCTACAAAATACGGCTTGAATAGGGTCCCTATAAAGAGGTTCAGGAGCTTTACCTTCAGGCAGCCCCTCAGTTTCTGGTTCAGAACAACTTCTATGGAACACTTCGGAGTCATCTAGTCCTGTCCTGAGGGGAGCAACCAAGCAAGAGTGAGCAGAGTGCAGCAGTGAGCTGACTGTGGCTAGGGTGCGGAGGACTCGGCTAGGGTGCGGAGGACTCGGGTAGGATGTGGAGGACTTGTGAGAGGCTGCCCAAACCCCTGAGCTAGAGAGGGAGTGAAGGAGCAGGGTCCACTGATCCACCACTTGGCAGCTTGGGAGATGAGATAGGGTGCTGGCTAAGATCTCAATCCTTGACTACTTTGGATGTCGGCAGACACTGCGGGTAGTTTGCACTGTGTCAGGTGGGAGGCCGGGAGGGGAGGAGACAGGCACAGGGGCGGCGGACATGGAGATGGGCCGCCTGTCGCAGAGTCTGGGGCCGTCTATGTACCTCTCTGAGAGAGACTGTCTATTCCCAGCAGTAAAGGGCTTAGAAGCAACAGAAAATGAGCAACCTGGGGTGGGGAAGGGAGTGTGGAGAGCGAAGTAGCGCACCTGCTGGGTGCTGGGCTTTGGTGGGCAGGCCCCTGGGGACTGGGCAGTGGGGGGTGGATGGGCACTTGGGTGGCTCCGGGGTGCTTGGTGGCGTTGCGCACGGCTTCTTCTAAGAGCTCCATCCATCTGTTGATCAGCAGGAACAGAAAGGAATGGTGTGAAAACAAGGCAAAGGACGCCCCTAAACGCCCCCTTCGGAGCTTTCAAGTCCTCTTTATGCCCTGGCCTTAAGGCTCTCTGCTGGAAGGTCCCCTCTTCCCAGGGGTGTGAACTGTGGCTTCCTTGGTGTTCTATTATGTCTAAGTAGCAATTACTAGCACTCTGTTAAGCTCTTCTTGTTTTTCTCTCTCAAAATAACCCTCAAAGAAGTAGAGTTATCCACAATTTACATATATGAAGCTTGAGGTTGAGAAACTGCCTAATTCAACCTGTCTCTTCACTCTGCCATCCACCTGCAGCTGGTCACTATTAGGAAACAGGATTCAGAGTCCTGGGTAATGCTTGATGGGGAAGAAGAGCAGGGCCAGAAGATTCTGAACTCTCAGATTCTCCTTATGTGAGTGGAGGGGACTGGTCATTGGCTCAGGGGTGGGTCATCCCTGTTGCTTTCTCCCACTTCCTTACCATCTCCCCACCCTGTGTCGGCGCTGGGGCCCAGCCCTGGCCTCACTGCCCACCGTCCTCATACACACCACCCTGGTCCCAAGGGGGCGGCGGTTATGTGTGACCCCTCAATCAATTCTCACGTGTTAAAAAAAAAAATTAAAAAATTCTCACGTGTTCTTGTCTGATGACGTCAATGCAACAAGCTCATAGATCTGGGGTGGGCCCAACTCAGACGTGCAGATGATGAAAAAGGCCCGTTTATCTGTTAGGAAAGGAAGCAGGAAGGGTTTTTATTTGGAAAGCGGAGGCCAGGGCAACAGAGGGCAGACATAGAGCCTTGTGGCCCATGAGACCCACTTATGAAACAGACAATGCGGGGGTGCCTAATGTCATCTTTCATGGCCACCTCCACTGCCCTATCTGATTTAAAAACAGTGAATGCTGACCTCTGTAGGTGGCTGTACATTATAAAACCTTTTCAAATCCATCATTCATTTTGATTCCTCCTTCCCCTAAGAGAAGGAGACCTGGTATCGCAGTGAATTTTGAGCTGAGCTGCTAAGTGAAAGGTTGGCAGTATGGATCCACTAGATGTTCCAAAGGTGGGTAGTTTCCTCCCAGAAAGATTACAGCCTCACAAGCCTCATGGAGTACTGGCATCAACTCAACAGCAGTGGTACAGAGGGACAGGTATTGTCCCTAAGTTGACAGATGAAGAAAGTGAACCTAGAGAATTTGAGTTGCTGCCTCCTGGTGCACAGCCCTTTGGGTTACACACTCCGTTTCTCACAGAACAATTCTATCCCTGGACCTGGCACTGCACTGTGGCTGCTCTGCAGGTTTCAATCACTGAGCTCCGCTTTGGTCACGCTTCCATTAGAACACTTGTCCTGCTCTTCAGTGACCAATCCCATTCTTTCCGATCCTGCTTCTTAAACATCTCTAGCCTGTCCCAGGAGCTCACATCCCACCCAAACCACCACGTCCATGAGAGCTGCCCTAAGTCTCTCTTCATCTTCAACCCTGGCCTATCCACCCTCAAGGTTGGAACCACAGCTCCTCCTAGACTGGGTCAAGGAGGAAGAAAAAGGATACAGGTGGGCAGGAAAATCCTGTAAGGCCCTAGACTGGCCCCATCACCCAGTGTTAGTGGACATAAGTAACAGAGACCATGGGGCCTGCGTGGGCCCGTCTCCTCATGAGTACCTGTGGCCACAGAACGGATAAGCACAGCATTGAGCTTGAGCACAGGGCTGAAAGTCTGCTTGCTGTCTGCGGAGCCCGCGGCTGTCTTGCTGTGGCACTTGAGCAGTAGCTTCTCATCCTGTTTCTGCAGCAGCACCAGGAGATCCTCCAGCAGCAGCACATGGAGGTCTGAGGGGAATTACAAGGGGGTCAGTGCTGCATGTGTGTCCCTCATTAACACAACTGGGCACCACACTTTCAGATGCATGTCTCCTGGGTCCAGAATGCCTGGGGATCCCATCCCAGTTATATTCTCTTTGGTCATTCCCTCGAGCTCCCTGTGCTGAAGAAGTCCCATGCTACACCCACAGTCTTGCTTCAAGTTGCCTCCTCTGGATCTTAGGGGCCCTTTGGAGAAAAGGTTCCAGGGCACATGAAACAGGAAGGAGGAATTCCAGGCAAGTCCACCCCACCACTGCAGGCCCTGGCACATACCCAAGGTCTTATCCTTGCTGATCCTCCACGTCAGAGGCCCCTCATGAATCATCTTTCTGGTTGTAAGATCCAGGCTCTGTTAAGAAGACACCATACACTCATTCAACAAGTGCTTGTTCACAGAGAGTTGAACAGGTCCCATGCAGAGAAAGATGCTGGAAGTCTAGTGGGGGTTACAGAGCTCGCACCACATGCTGCTAACTTCCCAAGGAAATTAGTCTCTGTTACGCATGACCATTCCTCAAGGACATTCCCTCCTAAATAAACTCCACCTTCACCTTAAATTCCTGTTCTCTATGCCCCATTTCTAGGCTGAGTTCTAACATATGTCATCTTTACATGGCAGGGCTGTCTAGGGACGAGGTGACAATCACAACATGATGTATCCATTTCAGGGCCCATCACTACCATTCAATCACAGATAGGTCCATATCTCCTACCTCCAGGCCTCTGTGGGCCCTGGCCAGCGTTCTGCTCTTAGGGAGTCCAAGAAGTGTGTGCATGTGAGGCTGACCTACTGTAGTCTGTCTCCTACCTTGAACTCTACCGCCAGGGGATTACTGGCCCTCTCCAAGGAGGTGGTATCCAGACGTTTCTGGTAGCCCTCCAGACGATGTCGGTTCTCCGTCTGCTTCACGGCTTCATTCACATACTTGAGAATTTCCCGACACTGATCTCGGGCCTGGCAGAGCTTCTCGTGCTCAGAGGTGCCACCTACCAAATGGGGTAGAGGAGGTGATTAGGGGCTAAGCTGGTATTCCCTGGGTATTGATCCATTCACCAACCGTCTGGAAGTCTGTGTGCTGCTGGAAGCTGTGCCACTGATACTGTGAACTAGCAGTGGAGTCACTCATGGAGACAGGTTTGAGAGGAGCTTCTGGACCAAGACAAACTAGGAAGAAGGACTTGAGAATCTATTTGCTGAAAAATGCCTAGTAGAACGTTATCAGGTTGGAAGGTGACTGGGGACACAAGTGGATACAACAAATGCAACAGCAATAATTGTGAAGATAGCACGGATCAGGAAACATTTCATTTGTTTACAGGGTCACCTGACAAAATTAATAAGAGCAGTGTGCATACATGGTGAACGGCCTGAATCAAGGATGAGTATAGGTAAGTAACGGCTGCCTAGCCTTAAAGACCTTAAGTAACTTTTATGGAGTGTCCAGGGTTTCACACAACTGTTCTAAAGACACCTGTCCCAGAGCACAGCTGATGTTTACGGAATGGGACGAAGTCCAGATATGAGACTACAATCTCCCTGAGGAAGCAAGGCAACCTCCAAGTAAAGTCTTGCTCTGCTTTGCACAAAGGTTTCACGTGGGCTGGTGGCAGCTCTGACAATCCCCTGCTTCTGAGCACTCTAACAGGATGGAGAGAGACACTGAGGGCCAAGGCTGAGGATCTGTGCTAGAGTTAGGACTTAAGACAAGATCTACAGACTGGCTCTCCCCCCGGCCCCTGGCCATGGCCTACCCTCAGTGTGCTTGATGATGTTCTCCAGCAGCAGCGGATACTTGGTGAGACGCTGCATCTCTGAAATGATGAGGTCTCGTAGTTGCAGCCGCCGGCACTGGGGGTGGCTCTCGGCCTCCTAGAGGGGAGGAGAGAGGGAGATAGAGGAAAGTCTCACACTGTGGCTGGAAACTGGCTTCTGGGTCAGAACTGAGATGGACATGGAAATGCCAGTGGTTCTCAATCTCAAATGGGTCACCCACGACTGTCGGTGGTAGCTTCTTTCTTAACTATTTAGGGTGGAGTGACTGAAGCAAGGAGACAACCACAGAGGAAATGATGTTGTCACGCACACACCACGTACCCACCTGCCCACTGTCACGGAAATGATTCTAACTCATAGCAATGCCACAGGGCAGAGTAAGACTGCCTCACTGAGGTTTCAAGCAGACAAAGTTTATGGAAGCAAACTGCTTCATCTCTCTCAGAGCAGTGAGGGGTTCAACTGGCTAACTTTTGGTTGGCACACCACTGCTTTAACCATAGCATCACCAGAGCTCTTTAACTGACCACCACTGTGATCAAGTTAATTCCAATTCATGGTGACCTGTCACTGGGCTTCCAAGACTGTAACTCTTAATGCTTCATCTCTTCCTTATGGAGTGCTGGTGTGTTTGAGGGGCTGACCTACTGGTTAACTGACCAACACTTCACCTACTACACCATCAGGGAAAGTACTGTTGCTATTGTATGGGAAAGGGAATGGAAACCCAGGAAGTTCCTCTAAGTGCACAAAGGTACAGGCATTCGAGGCAGGTCTTCTGACAGCTAATTCAGAGTTATTTACAAGGAAAAAGGAGCTCTGGTGGCACAGTTCTTAGGGAGCTGCATTACTAACTCAGAGGCAGCACTTCTCTGAGGGTTCAGATCCACCAGCAGCTCTGCAGAAAAACATGGGCACTCTCCTCCCACGAGACTCACAGCCTCCACCATCCCGCTGGAGGCTCAGTTCTGACTTGATGACAATGAGTTGGACTTCGTGTACGGGTCAGTCAATGCTGCCTGAACAGGTGGTGTGGGAGGGTCCAGGGTGTTTTCAGATAGAGCTTGGAATTGGGGACCAGGAGGAGGACCCTCAGGTGATCCCCGGTGAACTTCACAGAGCTGAGGGACATCTCAGGGCTGGTCAAGGGAAGTACCTGCATGAATAGCTGGAAGCGGCTCTCCTTGCGCTGCTTGGTCTTGATGAGCTCCAGGGCTATGGACTGAGAGGAACAGAACTGAGCAGCCACCTGCTGAAGCTCCTCTCGGGCAGGGCCATCAAACTAGAAGGTGGAAACGGACATCCATCCAGGAGTCAACTCTCCTACCTGGGACCTGCCCCTTCCCTGCTGATTCCTCCTCCCCTAGCTCTGTCTCTTCCAGCCTCCTTGCCAAGCAGGACAAGTTTGAAGCCATACCCGTGCCAGCATGAGGTCACTGATTTCTTTGATTATGGGGCCCTCCTCCCGGAGCTTCTTCATGGCTTCGCACCATGAATCTGGGGTGAGGAGAGAAGAAACAGGAATGCGTGGGCCTGAGCTCTACAGCCAGGGACTTTACAGTGGAGAGAAAAGGGACCTATGGCACCACTTCTGTGAGGAAGTGTGTGGAAAATGAGATTCCTAAACTTTTTTACTTTTAGGGGAAACAGATACTGTTATCCCCTTTTACTTCACCACACAAGGCAGGACATGATCACCTAGTCAGGGAACTCCCAGCATGGAGTGAAGGCCAGCAGAAGAGTCTGGAGGGGTTAGAGGGCGGCGGGGTGTGTGTGCGCGTGTGAGGCATCTTACTGTGGATCTCTATGAGTTCAGGCAGGTTAGGAAAGAGTCGGGCCAGCTCCTCACGGGGCATCAAGTTCTCCTTCTTCATCCGTTGGTAGAAGATCAAGTCCAGGACACGCAGTGTGCGCAGATGCGATGCTTCAGTCACAAACAGCTCTGAGTGGTGAGGAGGGGCGGGACACAAGGAAGGAAGAAAACGGATAATATCTAGTGTTATTCCCTGGATTAAGAGCAAGTACCCAGAGTCACTTTGCTCTTTGGGGAGCTAGAGTGTTGGTCTTAGATTATACATCTATTTTCTCTCAGTAAGAGCCAGAACTGTAGTGGACCTTACAGGAAGAGGTAACGAAGGCTTGATCCTGCCCTCTGGGGACCCACACCCAATTTACCTCTTTGCCACCCTTCGCATGGCAGGTGCTTAGGACCTATTCTCAAGTCTGAGTGGAAGTGGGTGAAGTGGAAGAGGCTCACCGTTGATGACCTCCTGCCGGTCAATTTCCCGCTGGCTTAGCCCAGCCACCACATCTTTGCCCACGGTATGCTGCCAGTTTTGAGCATCTGGCTCTGGCTCCAGGTCAGACAGTTGGCCCAGATCATCCTCTAAGAGGTGAGGAAGGAGGGCATCTGTGCAGAACCCCAAACTGGGGGACTCAATGCTCCTGGGGGAGAATGGTCAGCTCAGTTTCACCGCAGGCTTGTCCTTCCCTCTCCTGCTCAACCTGCCTGCTGTGCCCAGGTGACATCAGTGGGCCACACAGAGATGCACTCAGCCAGCCACTCATGGCTGTGAAGAGCGGCTGAGCATGGATGCTCGGGACCAGAGATACCCAACGAAGGTTCATTACTCACCTGCGGCCCATTTTGGGGGTGAAAGGAGGAGTTGGGTTCTCAAGAGACCTGTGGAAAGAATGGTAATGCTCAGTTTCCTTCATCCCTCTACCTTTCCACCACACCTGAGACATCAACTGGTAGAGCTACATGGCCTCCACCCACCTGGTAGAGAGGCTGGACGCAGAGGACGAAGCCGACTGGTGGAGCCGAGTGGCCTCAGCAGCGGCATCCATGTCAACGTCACTGCGAGACCGGGGCACATTCTCTGTCTTCCGAGACCGCTTCATTTCTTCTCGGCCTTTAAGGCTCTCAGAGCGGCCCAGGCGGATCTCTGAGCGGGAACTGTGGTAACGAGTAAGAGAGATCTTATATCTTAGGTCATCTTTATCTGCTGTACCATGTGGTGAGTCATCAATGCTGCAGGATCTTGACACTACCCTCAAAGGACCAGAGCACCTGGATGGCAGAAGTGTCTTAGTGACAAGCCAGCAGGACCCCCAGCTCCTCCTCTCCTCTGCCCTCCTGCTCAGGATCCTCGGGTAGCACTGGTGCTTCCTTCTGACCTTCCTTCCTTCCTGCTGACACCTGACGTCTGCTGTGTGTATTTGGTGACAAACCATTTTTGTTGTTCTAGAAATTCCCAACTCTTTTCAGTCTAGCTTGATGGAAAGAGCCACTCATCTTCCTCTTGGCCTATCAGGAAGGGACTCTAACAAGCAGATAAAATTTGGGACCAACAGAATCAGGAATGTGTCCAGAGGTCTAACTGCTTCAGCCCCCATCAGCAAAGCTGAGAAAAATCAGTCCTTTACCAAGAACTACATGTACTTGTCTTGCTTGCCCCTGGGGCCAGCTAGTGGCCAGACCATCTTGCCCTCTGTCTTGCCTGCTGGAGGTGGAGCTCTCTTTTGACAAGACTTTCTAAGAGGAAGTACAGTCACTGGTTCCATGTACTCATCCTAGGATTCTCCTATACTGCCTGTCAGAAAACTCTACTGGCTGTTGGAGTCCCATCCTCTAGTTATGATGCAAATTTCTTCCATTCTAATCTTGACAGAATCCTTCCCAAGCTTCCGTGAACTGATCAACTCTGGAGGGTACTGAAAAGGGCCTGTTAATAGAGAGGCAGCAGCTTGCTCCCTTGGGGTCATGCTGCCCACTGAGTGCTCTTGGGGTTTGCTGTGATGCTGATGACTGGGTGACACTCTTTTTTGAGCTCTGCAGTGTATCAGCCCTGAGGTAGCTGGTCTCTCTGACCCTTAGCTGCCCCAGGATGGTGCCTCCCGCTGTGGGCCTACTGGGCTGGTTCTGTGCTGACGTTATTACTAATCTCCATCCTGCTCTGCTCTGTCTGGAGAGCTGAGGAAGCACAGCAGGTTGCTACAGTCAGGGAACCAAATGGCTTGGTCTCCATTCATCAAATTTCTCAAAACTGTCAGAAGATCCCGACCGGAGCTTACCGCCTGGAGGGATTGGTCCAGAGGGTAAGAAAGCATTCTACTGAGTGCCTACTGTACTCATTCCCCAAATTCTGCTGGAACAATTCCAACTCAAACCAGTTGACTCTGAGAGGCTCACGTGAATGAGTGATGACAGGGCTTTCAGTGGTGGGTTTTCTAGAAGTTGCCTGACTGGTTTGTCTTCTGAAGTAACCCTCTAGTTGGATGAGGAATCACCAATCTTTTGGTAAGCAGCAGAGTATGCTAATCATCTGCCTCAACTAAGGATTCAAATTCCAACCCAGACTAACCCAAAATACTTTCACTAGCGGTCCTCAATGGGTTTTAATGATAATGATAAACCACCGAGGAATTTACTGGGCTAGCAGAACTAAACATTTTTCTTCAAGCACTAGGAAGTAAGGCACAAGATAAAATCCTGGTCAGTTTCCAAGGTGCTGTTGTCTAGAACTGGGAACATCTTAAAACTATCAGGTAAGAACCTCTGACCAGTGGTTGAGTGACCCTCAGCTATGTGCATTTTCCAATGGAATCTTATGATGTCACAGATCACAGATGGGCCATCTGTGGTGTCCTGTCTGAATTCCTGACCTACAGAATCTGGGGGGCGGGAGACGAACCTCTGAGCACATAGGATGTCAAGAATATTTTTTCCAAAAATGCCAATTAGTTTATAACCATCAAGTCCAAAGGTTTCTGTTTTGAAGATTTAGAATCATAGTGGAAACCTTAGGGCAAATTTACAAAACAACTTTAAGATACAAGTTTGCAAATAGTCTCAAGTATTTTCTAAAACTCTTAATATTGTATCTTAATATATTTTATATACCTACTATAGCAATCATATAATTGGTGTATTATATTTACCATTTACCCAAGTAACATTAGAACTCAACCTCTCAACCCACTACCAATCCCTTTCTTTCCGCTGAATTTTTGTGAATTCTTATTTTGGCAAAATCTTTGATAAAACTGTATTTGTAAAGGCCTCATATAAACAGAAAAGAATAGCCTGCATACCAGCAGGAATGTTTGACAACTCATTATTTCTGAGACGTATCTGAATATCTAGACAGCTACAAACTAACTGGCCTTTGCTTGTGCCTGCCTGAACAGTCAGCACAAGGCTGTGAGTCTTGAGTATACATAAGAATTATTTCTGTATATACAAAACCATTGTATTTCAAGGGGGACCTAAGAGATTTGCAATAGTATAATTTTTAAAATTTTAAAAATGTATTTATTTTTTGCATTGGTATTTTTGACTCTAGGTGCTTTCTTGGTGTAAGTACTGGATGTGGAAGTTTAAACATGACTCGTCTGATGCCATGTCTCAGACAATAGCAAGCCACTTCAAGAGTATGTTTCAGTATCAGAGACACATTCTAGTTAGAGCCTGATCAAGGATGGAGAGTATGAGAGAGGATCTAGTCTCATTTCCTCTTAACTCCCCTTGAAAAGGGAAGAGTGTGTTTTGAATCAGTTAACTTTGCATTCTCTGCAAAGTTGGATACTTAGATGCTCACAACATAACTGTTTGCCTTTAAAACTCCCTCGGGTTCTCTCTTTGATGAAGGCAAAAACTATATTATGTTCCCTGGTCCTTATTTCCCAGGATTCCCTCTTGTGACTTTGTCTTCTCTCTTCTCATTTCTTACTGCTGTGCGGTGTCACTAAGGAAGATCCAACTCACAATGAACCTAGACACAAACAGAACAAATCCCTGCCCATCCTGCACCATCTTCACAGTCTCTGCTGTCTTCAGCCCACTGCTGCAATCAATTCATCCTGCTGTGGGTCTTCTTTTCACTGACCTTTTCCTAAACAAGATGTCCTCTGCCAAGGACGGATCCCTCTGGATAACATGTCTAAAGCATGTGAGACAAACTCTGCCTCTAAAAAGTACTCTTGATGTACTTTTTTCAAGACAGACTTATTTGTTCTAGCAGTTGATCACATATTCAAAACTGTAGGTGCCTTCAACTACGACTCATAGTGACCCTGTAAACAAAAGGTCTGAATACTGTCCTATCTGGTGCCATCCTCATAATTTCTGACATACTTGTGCCCTTTTACTCACTGTGTAAATCTACCTGGTTGAGGGTTTTAGGATTTCCTAATTCTTTATAATGTAACCAGCTTATTCTTACAGGCTACTGAATAGCCAAGGGATGGATCAAATGAAACAGTCAAAGGCTGCTATCCCTCGGCTCGAGGTCAGGGGGCCCTGCTCATTCTCCCCATCAGCTTGATCCCTGACTGTGGTGTTACAGGATCACTGTTCAAAATGGGGTTTGGAGCTGTTAGCAGTTTTTTGTTTTTGTTTATTTCTGCCACTGGCTTTTTCACTTTTACCACAGACTAGGCAGGAATTTGTATATAAACTAATCATTACAAGATTAGTCAATTTTTCCTTTCACCAAATTTCAACGGAGCCTGGTTAGCAGCAAAGGTGGGAATCTCACTACTACTAGCCAGGAAGATGAAGCATAGAGTGTAGCACACTTTGTTCAGGGCTAGGGATTCCTCCATAGTAAGAGCAAGATCTACACAAGAGCAACAGTAGCCTCAGCAAGAACCAGAGATTAGCGTGAGACAGAGCTAACTCAGGACTGCTGTCACACAGAGCCAGAGCCAAGAGCCTTTGCCCAAACTTGCTGGAGGACTATGGGAAGATGCCATAATGGGCAGGACTAAGGGAAATTTGTAACACTGATCTAAACAAAGAGGCTGAAGGTCAAAGGGCTGCAACCATGCTTGAGTTGTATCCTGTTGCCAACTTGAACTGCAACCTGTTACATTCCATAGTAAATGCTCTAAGGGTGAGTATGGTTTTATGAGATCTGTGTGGTCAATGCAAAAGATTTTAGACCCTATTAGCAGAAGTAGGTACAGGAGTGAGGAGGCCATGGCTGATTTTATGGAATTGATTTTGTACTGTGGATGCTGCTGATGGGGACAGTTCCCCCTTATGGAGTTAAAAGAGGAAGAAACCTGTCCCTATGCTGCCCCCACTCTTTTCACCCTGACACAAAGTGTGTCATCCTCCTGAAATACCTGGAGAGACAAACTGCTTCAGTGGCAACTTGGTAGCTTAGCATAAAGGCGTAATGTTACTGGGAATTAAAACTCTACCTCCACACCTGGCCCATGACCCCCTCGGGCAGTTAGCCAGTTCAGCCACTACCTGTCACTCTCCAGTAGATCCTCAGGGAAGCTTCCCGTGGAGAGCCTCTGTGTCCCAGGTTCAGGGTCATCATATTGCTGGTTGTTCTCAAAGTGCTGAATGATGTTCCTCACATTGCCTGGTTTGACTAGAAGTAAAAAGAAAATGAAAAAAAAAAAAAAAAAAAAAAAAAAAAAAGAAAATGAAGGATATTCTGCTTTCTGTTCAAGGACACCTTTTCATGACACTCATACCCCTCTATCCCAAATCTAAAACAGTGAGCAAGCATGATGAGAACAGTAAGAACCACATGGATAAAGACTCAGGAGGTATGGATTCTAAACCTCTATTTTCTAATAACAGTGCAGTTGGCCACCTTTATGTTTCCTTGTGTGAAAATGAGGGGGTTTGGATGCATATTTTCTGTGGAGATTTTTGGCGTTTGTCTTCTCTGTTATGCCAACACTTATGCTTGAAAACTGTGACTAGACTTTTCCCTAAATCCAAATGTTGTTACTGTTGATTGCTGTCGAGTCAAGGACGACTGACTCATAACGACTCTATGAACAAAAGACCTTTCTATAACTATTGTCATTTCTCCAAGTTCATAGAATCTCCAGAGGCATGTGGTTTAGGAAGTGGATGCCACTCCTGCTTCCAAACCTGTTTTACAACTGGGAGCTTCACCAATCCCAGTCCACACTGGGAAACCATTCTGGTATTTGATACTCCAATGGTACAAGGTTCAGCATCACAGCAAACTCAGGTTACTTCATACTGCACATTGACGAAGAGTGATGTACAAAGTGGAAGAGTGTTCCTCCAGATATAACAGCACTAGTTTCACTTAGCAGTGGTTAAGTGTTATCAAATAAAATACAAGTTGAGAGTGAGCTTTGCACAAAAGACCTGAACTCTGTTCTATAACTAACATAATTTCTGTACAGAACTCCAAATATAGATGAAAAAAAAATCCAGAAGGACCCAAAGTATATAAATATATCATCTGGCCATGTTGCCAAACTATATGAGGCATTTAAGAAATTGTTACTTTTAGCTCAATATTTAGGTTTTTACCCCAAGGTCCCTTTCTTGGTCCTTCCAGGATCTGTCCTAAAGATTCAGGCCCTGTATTTCCAGTGAGTACAACCCAGGAAAAGAGAGAAATGATGTCACACTGGCATTCAAATTCCAGCCCCTTTTTAAAGCTAAGACAGGAGAAAGCAGAACATTTAAAGAAACAAAGAGGGCAGGTGAGTGAGTAAAAAGGTACAAAGGCTGCCACTTAAGAGATCCTCGTAAGGAGAACTGAGACCCAAGATCCATTTGCTCTCAGCATGAAAAAAAGAGATGGGCAGTTAATCTCAAAGTCATCTAGTTTACCTCTTAGTCCACTCACAAAAGAGTAAGGGTTAGGCTAGAAATGCTGCGCTGCCTGAGATGAATGGGGAGGGGAGCCAAGAGAAATTACTCAGAGGTCTAGATCCTGATCCTAACCAGGATCTACTCTTGACTTCAGAGGCTTTGTCATTCTGTTTCCCATTGTATTGTATCTACAACGATAAACTTAGATTTTAGAGGTCAAGACCAGATCTGTCCTGGCCTGAATGTACATCTGGGCCTCAAGACAACTGCAGAAGTCAATTCAGCTCTGTAGCCTGAGCTCCCCTACTGTGGAGGTGATGCAGGAGCCTGGGAACATCCTATGACCAAAAGCTACTCGATGAGTCCACGGCTTCCTTTTCCCTGGGCCACTTGGAAAATATTCAATTGTTTTCTGGATATAATTACAACTAACTATGACAAGATTCTGATGTGACTCTGAAATCTAGTGAAAATGAAAGACCCAGGGTATAGAGGGGTGAAAAGCAGAAAAGAACACATGATTTTAAAGAGCAAAGTTTCACTGCTAGCTTTTGTTCCATTTTCTCCATTCTCAGGATGACAAATGAAACAAAAATAGAGGTATCAGGAATCAAGTACTTTTTATTAATAAGAGACAATAGTAACAGTCCTAAAATAGCAAAAATTTTTGATGTTGAGGCTCTAGCTTTGGTGGATTTGTAAGATAAATACTAATATACCTGAGGTTTGGGAATTTTAGAACCTCAAATCAAGGAATTAAAATGGAAAGACCTAACTCAAAAGAACTGGGGGTTTCCTCAGCATCCTTATCCTCCTGACTCTGGAATTGGTAGCAAAAGTTCCGTTTGGCATGGCTATCACTTTTTAGGCTGGCAAAAAGCAAGCAGCCCATTGAAGGCTGCCAGTCTCCTGTAAAGACTAAACATAATCATAAGGACTACTTCATGGAAAGTCTCCCATACCTGCGGCTTGCCTCTGACAGGCTTTGGGAAAGAAAGGGAGACATGTGTGTTAAGAATGGGCCGAGAGGATTTCTGTTTGAACCTGGTTCCTCCAGGAACCCTCTCTCTGTGCCTGTGCCGATTTGCTTGGCATACTTCAAAAGCTGGTTTGTATACTCTGCATATACTATCATGGCAAAAGTCTTTGCTATGATAATTCAAAGTTGTTAACAGGACTGAAAGAAAATAAAGAGCCTAGATTTTAAGGTCCTGCTTCTTTTTAAAAAGTTTTATAAAAATTTGCTTAAATTATTTCAATTAGCTTGAGTGTCAGTTTATAATAATTTTGAAGATAATATTTTTAATTTCCACTCTTTTTTAAAAAAAACAAATGTTTATTGTCTACAAATATATATAAAAATTTCCCACAAAAGATGCCGTTCTCTCATTTCCCCATCTTCTTCCTCTTCTTCAACACCTCTACTATAAAGGACATTGTTACGCCTTATTAAAACTTCATCCAGATGTTCAGACAAGGTTCTATCTATGTATTCTTCTGTATTTGTAAGCTGCATGTTCATATAGCTATCTACAGATATGAGGTAGCCCTTGTACTCCGCTCCCCACTTAATTTCACCATCACTGGCTTTCCCGTTAATCCATTCAGAAATGTTTTGGAATTGAGGGGTAAACTCATCGCGACTACTGGCGAATGGTGCAGGCTTCTAGCCGCCGACCCAGCTGTCGTCTGACCCTCGTGACAGGAGCAGCTGCCTTAGCAATTTCCACTCTTAAAAAGAAATTTTAGCAAAAACATAACTCTGACTGCCTCTCATTGTTCTCTATTTATTGTTGTGAAATGCCCGTGAGCAGATTTCTGACTCATCTCTCTCTTTCCCTCACTGCCATCCAACTGGAAATGACTCACTGCTGACTCTCCAGTGGGTTTTCAGGGGCTATAAATTCTAAAGGGGGAGACTGCCTATCTTTATTCCTTGGAGCTGCTGGTAGATTTGAACGATCAAAGAGGCATTGCCTTTGGGTTGGCAGTGCAACTCCCTACAGACTATGCCACCAGCGTTCACTTTCTGACTTTTATGTTAGCATTTAATAATCCAGTCAACTACGTCTCATGGCAATCATATGCTTTACGTAGTGACTCTACGTGGTAAGAGTAAAACTGTCCTGTAGGACTTTCTGGGAGTAGCTAGAACTTAGGATATTCTAATAGAGTAACTGCATGCATATGGACTTCACTAGTGGGAAATGAAGTTTATTGTTGATTTTATTTCTATTATTGTTATGTGCCACTGAATCCAAACTGACTCAAAGCTGACCCTCCAGAGGGTTTTTAGAGGCAGTAAATGACATAGGAGACTATCTGTCTTTCACCCACAGAGCAGCTGGTGGATTCAAAGTGCGCACCTGTGGGCTGGCAGCAGTACTCTCTATCCATTAGGCCACCTTACTGCCTCTGGGCCAATTTCAACTCATAGTGGGTTTTTGAGGCTTTATCTTTTTAGGAGAATACCTAACTTTCTACAATGTAGTGCCTAGCAGATTTGAACCACTGACCACTGACCTTTTGGTCAACAGTACAATACACATACTCCACCACCAAGACGCCACAAAAGTTATTAGGATGCTTTAAAAGAGATTTACTGTCTTTTTAAGCCGATATTAGTTACACAGTGCTGGAAAAATTGAGTCAAATGATACGGAGGTGCTACACTGAAGAGCGTAATCAGGGTAAAAACCCAGTGGCATCCAGCCAATTCCAAATCATGGCCACCCAATTGGACAGAGGAGACTTGTCCCAAAGGGTTTCCAGTGCTGGAAATCTTTACAGAAGTAGACAGTTATATCGTCTCCTGTGGAACAGCTGGTGGATTTCAACTGCCAACCTTTAAAACCTTCAGTGTTTAACTTACACCACCACCAAACAGGTTAGATTCTGTAAATAAAATATCTGAAAGAAATATTATCAAAGACCTACCAGTTTATGAAGAAATAAAACCAAAAACCCCACAAAACATAGTAACTTTGAGTAACTTTTTGCTCCTGCTTTATGCAAAGATTAAGAATACTCCTTATTTATATAGAACTCTGGAGTTTTGGAACCTCACCTTGGAGGGTTGATAGAAGAACTGAGGAAGGAAAAAAGCACCTTAGGCTGTGGGAAAATGAACAGGTCAGGAAGACTGGCCTTTGACAGAACCACCAGGATGAGGTCTACCTGAGCAAGCATGGGGGGAGGAGAGGTGTCTCATCCACTGGGAGCCCCCTAGGTTTGGTCTATCTGAGCAGCTTCAACAATGGAACTTGAAGAAAAAAAAATAGTAAAGGAAAGGAGAGGTAAGCAGGACAGGATAGAGAGGAAACAGGAAGAAGGAAAAGGGATAGGAAGAAAATATTTGGGATATGGAAACTCAGTGCTAATGCAAAGAAAAACCCAAAGAAAATGGTCCTTTTACCTTCCACAGGGGACAAGGGAATATGAAATGTTAAAAGAAAAACAAAAACAAAAGTAAACCATGGAAAGTCAAATTAATGTTTTAAGAGTAAAAATAAAAATTCTACCAAGCTCGAAAATGAAAAGGTAGGGCGAAAATTTTAGGGCTGATCTGAGTCCCCACCTTGTCCCCCTCCTACTTGCAGCAATTTCAGGAAAGGCAACAGGCCAAGCTGATGGTTCTTACACAGTTTCCTACATAAACTGGGGATTTAAGATAGTGATTGCAAGGGGCAGCAACAATTTCTAGACAAATGACACAGAGATGGGAAGAGAGCACTGCTAGGACCAAGTGTTTTTTTGGTGACTTGTAGTGCTAGAGGAAGCTCAAGGTCCCAAACTTGCCCCCTACTCCAACCCATCTTGTGATGCTTAACAGCTCACAGAAGCTCATTACAAATCCATCTCTTGGATAATGTGAAAGAACCTATTTACTGTTAATAAACTTGTCAAGGGGGAAATATCCCTCCCCAGGTCTGTTAAGTTCCTAGACCAAAATCTAGGGACCAGCATGGACCCTACGGCTCTGAAACATGCACTTAGAGCTCATGGAGCCTGCACTGGAAGTGGCAAGTGGAGAAAGCAATAGTGCTGACAAGAAGCTGCAGGCTCAGTGTTTGAGCTAGTGGCTTCCAGGAACATAGGAAGAACGTTTGTCAGCATACCGGCACACGGCAGAGCTGTGAGGGGGCTGAGGTCCTTGCCAAAGCAATGTTCAAGGCTGCTGATTCCCAAATACTCACTGCTCTGGGAAGAATTTTTGGGCTTCCCAATGTATTTGAGGATGGGGTTTCGCTTTTTGTCCTCCAAGGCATCCTTTTCCTTCTTGGAATTGCTGCTCTGCTGAGACAGGAGATAAGAACAGTTTGGAGGAGGTCCCAATATCCAGACCAGCGGTGTGATCAGGGCCGCCACCCTCAGGCCTCTGTGGGCTCCAAATAGTAATTGCAAGGTGTACTCATGCTTGTATTCTAACCAGCCAGTTTTGCTTCTGGTTTGAGTTTGGAGGCAGGGAAAGCAAACGGCTCTTATATGGGGATTCTCACTTAACTTCAGACCCAAAGGTGCAGGGCAGCAGCTATATAACTCCATAATAGCATTCCTAGTCTGTCTCAGTGCAGAGAAGTGCACCAGGGAAGAACAATACTATGGTAGTGGTCACCTTTTTGGTCTTGGGGAAGAAGGGTAGCCACTTGTCCTTGTCAGGAGCAGACTGGATCTTTTCAGTGGGGTTGGAAGGTCGTGCCTCTCGAAGACGGATCCCAGCATGGCTCATGTAGGTATTGAGGGCAAAGTCCATGGGAGCACTGTGAGACAGGAACCAGAAAGTGTGAGCAACAGTCCCTGATGGCAGGTGGAGGAGCCAAGACCTTGTTCCTGGAGGACTATGCAGAGGAGTGGGGCAGATCAAGGTAAAGGGCCAAAGTATTCAAAAGGACATTTAGAAGAATCAAACGGGACAGCAGGCAGAAGCTGGCTCAAAGTCTTGGCTGGTGTGACTCTCTAGAAGAAAGTGCATTTCCTCCCTAAGCAGAGTGCCCCTCTGGCTGGGTAAGTCATGGGCAGAGCTGGAAGATGGTTTAAAGTCTACAGATCATATCCTCGTGTGTGTGTGTAGTGGCCAGGGGAAGGGTAGAAATGCCCATCTCTCTCTCTCTCTCTGTGTATGTGTGTGTGGTGGCCAGGGGAAGGGTAGAAATGCCCATCTCTAACCCTGCCAAGGCATACTATCATCATCACCCTCCTACTCCAACACAAAGAGAAAATAAAATGGATAGGAGCTGTCAAACATCTTCCAACTGCCACAGATGAAACTGTGCAGAACCCTGTACTGAAAAGGGATATATGATTAGGTATTATTGTCATGACAGGAGCCCAGAGTGAAGGCTGCACAGTGGAGTGGACTTGTGGGGAGGGATGTATAACAATGAGAGAATTTTACTTTTCAAAGAGAAGAGCGGACTTGGGGGGGAGGGGTGGGCAGGGAGAAAAGCGCAACAATGAATGAATAGAAATCCAAAATCTCTGTAAATTTTCATTAAAACTATTAATAATAATAAAAAAATGCATTTGGTCTTCAATTCTGTGGACAGGCTGACTATCCACTCTGTGTATTCAATACAGCAAATGCTTCAGCTCTGGCTTTATTCTCCTCTCAGACTTCTAACTCCCTTTCATCTTCCTTATTAAGAGTACATTCTCAGAGAATATACACTCATTTTAAAATCAGCTTATAAGTAGACAAATAATTAGAAAATCACAGTACTTGTCAAGAGACAGAAAATGTTGCACCTAGTTCCTCTCTGCAGATGGCGCTAACACAAGGCTGATTCCACTATTACTGTTCCTTCTTTAAGTGGCTGAGGGGGAGGATTAGGCAAGAAGATAGAAGGCTAATGTGGGTGTAAAAGAGGAAGCCAGGTATAATGCTGGAGCTACAGTTTGATGTCTTCACACTGCAGAGCTTCACCAGGCAGACTTCTACACCTTGAGGAGAGTGCTGGCATCTCAGCATCAGGGACTGGATCTACCCTGCTGCTGAGCTGGGAAGTAAACTTGGACAGAACAGAGACCTACATGGTCCTACAATGCTAAGGACTCCCCTGTGAGTATCAGAGCTGGACTGCACAATGGCTCAATCTCACTCCCTCCCACCTTGAAAGGGGCAGATGGACCATGGGCTCACTTACCTCCTATCTTCCTCGTACTTGGACCTGAAACAACAAAAAGAAAAGATGACTCAAACTTCAAAGACAGGCTCATCTGCCAGTGCAGAGACTGGGGGAGTGTAAGGACTTTCTTGGAAGAAGGGAGGGTTGACGGGGGAGAAGAAGAGTATGAGAAAATGTCACATTTTGACTTTTGGCCACAGCTCTGGAGCCAGCTTGGAGCTTGGAAGGTGAGAGTTCTCATGACCATGAGGAACTTAATTAGCACAGAAATCTGTCCATGTCCTTCTAATGAAAAGGAAGGGGAGTGTGGTCAATGTGGCCTCTTGGCTGGTGTCTGTTTCAGCCTCTGAGTTACTACAGAGGAACAGGCTTCTCTTTGTATCCACCTAGAACTGAGAGGGACTGAAGCAAGAGGAAATAAGGTGAGAGAGCAGAGATAATACCTAAGGCCTCATTCAAAGAGATCTATTTAAAAGAGAAGTTTACCCCGAAAACGGTGACAGCTAACATTTGAGTGCCTGCTGTAGGCAAGAGAAGTTTACCCCGAAAACGGTGACAGCTAACATTTGAGTGCTTGCTGTAGGCCATGCACTATTCTAAGATCTTCACATGCCTTAACGCCTCTGATTTTCACATTAACCCACAAGGTAGGTATTATGATCATCACCCCCAATTCATGATACCAAAGCTTCACTGCTTTAAGGAGGAATCACTGTAAGTAGGAGTATCTATGCTATTAATATCATTCCCAATTGGTTCTGTAGTACCTACAATCTCAATGTAGGCTCACCTCAGTTCTTGTCTCCATCCCTGTCAGATCACTGCTATCTGACAACTAAGAATTTAGCTTCTGAGAAACTAAGGCCCAGAAAGATTTCGAGCTTGGCTGTAGTTCCAGGATAAAGTATGAAGGCTAAGTTCTCAACGGATGTTCCTTCCCTGGGTTACCTCAAGTGGGTACATCTACAGCCCAGATCTCTTAGCTAATGCCAGATTCACAGACACCGTTTTCTATTCAAATATCTAGCTGAGTGTTTAAGAAAAGTTTTTAACTGAACACATCCCAAGCCCATTTTCCACCACAGGACGGTTCTACATCCTTAATTCAGTTGATGGTATCTTTATCCTTTTGTAGCAGGTTAACAGCTAACATATCCTTCACTTCTCCTTTTTCCCCTTCACACCCCACATTCCAATTTTCAGGAACACTCCATTGGCTCTACTGTCGAGACATAACTGGAATATGACCCTTCCCCGGGCCCCCAACTCCTCTTGCCCAAGCTTCTACCACCTTTTGCCTGGACAGTTTCCTAGCTAATCTCCCTGCTCCAAACTGCCCTGCACTTTCCAACTACTCTCTGGCCCCAATCTAGGCTCACACAGTTGCAATGGATCCCCAATCACAGAGTAAAAACCTTACAGGAGTCCCCAACGCTCTATACCACTGACCCTTCCACTATTTCTCTGCCTTACCAACTACATTTTCAACTTATTCTGGCCAGACTGATCTCCTTTCTGTTCCTCAAATATGTCAAGCACATTCCTACTTTGCCCTCTGCCTGGAATGTTCTCCTGGAGTTCTTCAAGGAGGATGCTCTCACTTTCTTCAATTATTCGTGTGCCATTTTCTCAGCCCTTGTCTCTATTGAGACTCACCCTCATTAAAATCACAACCCACTGGCACTGGTGCTTCTGATGCTCCTCATCTGGCTCTATTTTATCCTCCCTAATAATTATTATTTTCTAGCATACTTTATAATTTACTACTTATTGTATACACATTGCTCTTTCTTCCGAATATAATAAAAATTCCACAGGAAATAACTATTTTGTTCACTGGTGTATCTTAAGCGTTTGGAACAGTGTCTGGTATACAGTTGAGAATGTCCTAAGTGTTTGCTGAGAGGTATCAGAGACTTCAGCAATCATGTAAAATAATCTTAGTCATTTTATAGATGAAGCTCACATAAATGAAATGACTTCATAAAAATCACATAGCTACTTTGTAGAAAAGCAGTCCTGCAGTATAAAACCCCCATGGTCCCTACCTTCAAACTTGGAAATGTCTCCAACAAGGTTTCTGATGTTAGGACCTGCATCACAGGTGTCTGAAGTTTTTTAGAAAATTGGATTGGAAAACTGTTATAAAAGCAGCTGTGCCACAGCTCCTTAATTCAGTCAGTTTAGTTTTTCTGTGTGATTAGTAAAAAATGGTTCAAATTCCCTTTAGCCAGTTCTATCTGCCTCCTAAGAACTCTGGCCATCAGGAGGGACACAGCTTGTCTCATGGTCGTGTCAGATGTGGCCTTAGGGGAAGGAAGGGAGAAGGCCAGAAGGAGGAAGAGGAAGCACTGCGCCAGTTCTGGAACCTGGGGTTTGCTGAACCACCAGATTACCAAAAGGAGCTCTAGGCTCTTCAATTTCCTTGAAATACCTGAGGCCCTCAGCCTGAGAGAGCTGCAGAAAGCCAAGACTCTATATCTTTCATAGGCAAGAGAATAAGGAAGATGTGGAAGAGACAGAGAGTAGAAGACAGCCACAATGCATGTCATACTCTACAGCATGATCATGGGGTGGGAGGGGATTGGAGACTCACAAAATATCTCCAAGGGCAGCCAGCTGCTTCTCGGCTATGTGGCGCTCTCGCAGAGGGTCCCCATCTAGGTCCAGCAGGTCGTTTTCACCATACAGGCTGCCCAGCCCCAGCGTACGTTTTGTCCTAACCCAGAGACACAGAGAAAGAAACAAATGTACACACATTCTAGAAACAGATACCCAGAAAGAAAGACAAACATACAGTGATGGGAGAAACACACAAATCACAGGGGCTGAGGAACTGGGAGAAGAGACGCAGTTAAAGGGAAAAGAGAATGGGAGGCAGAGAACCGGACAAACCTGTAGTCGTGGATCTGCTCCTGGATCTCTGGCATTGTTGCCTCCTGTGCTTCGCAGAGGATGCTGCGAACGTCCTCACTATTCCGCAGGCGTAAGTCTGTCATGGGTGGCAAGAGGAAGCAGCCAATGTTGGGGAGGAGGAGGCTGCTTCTGCTGGCCACCTCAAAGTATGCAGTTCACTTTCACTCGGGAGGAGAGGCTGGCTTTCTGCCTCTTGTCAATCTGAGAGAAGCGGAGGTCTGATCTGACCAGCTCATTCCTGACTGCAGGACCTAAATCCTGATGCTCAAGTTCCAAAGCAAGGATGTGATTTTCTGGATGTTCTATGCGCCATTAGGACAGAAAGGTTAAAGCTTTTCTCATCAGATGTGTCTAAATGATGTCCTCTGACTTCTAAGTCCAGGCTTTGAAGAGGCTCATTACCCTTTTAATGACTCAAGGCCAGTACTTCACAATCCTGAAAATCCAAACCCCCCAGCAGAAAAGGAAAAGATGCTTTCTTTTCTGTCCCTGCATCCCAGCTCCACTGGGCCCATGCCAAGTCCCTGGGAGTGGTCCACTCTCACTCTGCTTTTGCGTAGGCTCTGTTCACCCTATCTCCTATGCCTGCCTCCCTGCCATCTGTGCCTGTAAACCACCTCTTTCCAAATGCTGGCTCCAACTTCTATCCTCTAGAAAGCCTCTTGGGATTAACTTCTCGGGCTAACAGTCTCTATCTGACCTCTGACCCTTGCCTTAGCAATTCAATCCATACTTATGAATGAGAATGGAGCTAAGCCGTTACCTGGGGTAACTGACATCCACTGGACCCTCATTCTGGACCAGGTATTACAAGAGGAACGTACTAAAAAACCTCTGGAGATTCAGACTCTGCACGTGAGATGGAGAAAGGACATGGTTTCTGGGGTTTTTTTTTGTTGTTTAAAAAGAGTTCTCTTAAGAATTCTGATGATTAACCAGGCTTAGAAACCTCCAGTTCAAGGATGGCAGCAATGAGATCAGAGGAATGAGATTAGTTCACTATCTGCACATCCAGAGTCTTCCTACAACTGGCTTGTAGGCAGGGTCAGATCCATCTAGCTTGTCTACAAGCTGCTGCAAAGTATTCTGAGGAATCATGGTCCTTCCCTCATAACACAGTATAGTTGTCCAAGGACAGGAACTACGTCCTCACTGTCCCCTAGACCTTCCTGAGAGCTCAGGACAAGAAGGTGGCTAAGAGGAGACCAAGAAGTGACCAAGAAGCCAACTTACCAATTTCAGCCTGTAACATCTCAGGAATCTTCACTCGCAGAGGCTACAAAACAGAAGAGCAGGCAGAAGTGGTGAGGTCCACACACTTCAGAAGACAAGAGACACACCATGGCAGGGATTTTAAAGAACACTAACTTTGTTCTCCCGACACCTATCCTACCCTTCTTTTCTTTCTCATCAACTTTGCACCTCAATTCTAGGGTAAAGTTTCTGTAACATGGATTGTGAGGCTATAGGACAGTAAAGAATAAAGTCCGAGGGTGTAAATGCAGTTCTTCACTTTTAGTTCCAGAACACTGAGAGGCATGCAATGAGGCTAGTGTGGATTAGGGATAAGTCAGGCTATTTGATGGGACTTCCCCTCCCCACCAGAGCCAAGGAAGTCCTGGTCTATGTCACCGAGTCTTCCAGTTAGCAGAATGTTCCAGCTTTTGCTTTGAGAACGTCAAACATCATAACCAAAAGGGAGTAACTCATGACCCATTTAAAGAGCAAATATCAAAATTCCAAGAAAAAAAGTTCTTTCTCAACCTCATTAGTCCTAGCACTTTTTTGCTATTAGGAATTAGGTTACTTCATCAGATTAGAAAGTATCACAGGAACCATCTTCTGCAGGCAAAGGTGCTGTCTATGTCTACACCAGGAAGCCCTAATACATCTCGTAGGAAATGTCTAGACATATGGAGTGCTCATCTACCCAGGGACTCTAGCCCCTTAGCTTCTTTATCACAGAGATGGGCAGGTAGGAAGATTTGGGGAAACCAGGAGAGAGCAATTTTGTTTGGTATAATCTCTCTAAAACACTTCGGGGAGAAGCAATGTATATTCTATCTTTGTTAAATGTGGCACAAAAGAGGCACAGAGAAGTGATCAATCTTTTGAGAGCAGAGCTAGAAACAAGATCCAGAGGTTCTAATCTCCTAATCCAAGCTTTTCATTAAGGTCCTGTCTACACTCAGCTTGAATATTCTGCTGAGTTTTTCTTCTGCCTCTTAGTACTCTCAAGAGTATAATAAAAGTATAAACCGCTCTATTACCGCATTTTTCTCTAGGAAGATATTCCAGATGTCTTTCCCCAAGCTTCGGGAATCTTTGGGGTTTGTCTGCTGATAAACTTCTGCACACAAGTAAAAGAGCTGGGAAGGAAGAGAAGAAATGAAATGGGTTAGAGTTAGTTCTCAACTAAGGGTAATTTTGCCAGCTCAAGGGACATTTGGAAATATATGGACATATTTTTAGCTGTCACAACTGGGGGAAGAGGTTACTAATGGTATTTATATAGTCAAGGTATGTGGCTAAGGGTCCTGCAATGGCATAGGATTACTGCTGTTGTACATTGTCAAATCAGAAGTGACTCATAAATGACCCCTCAGCAGGTTTTCAGAGACTGTAAATCACGTAGGAGTAGACCACCCATATTTCTCCTGCAGAGCAACTGATGATTCAGAGTTCTGCCTCTGGGTGACTGTGCAACTTCCTATCGACTAGGCCACCAGAGCTTCCTCAAGGCACAGGACAGCTCTTGACAAAAATTCTCTAGCCCGAAATGTTAACGATGCCAACGCTAAGAAACCCTGGGTTATAGTGTTTTAGAAACATGATGTATTTAATGTTCTCTACTACTTCTAACACATCATTCCTCAACTCTGGATTCTCTCCACACTTGATAACTTACTTGTATTTAACACTTACTTATATATCATTTCCTAAGAATTTTCATGTTTTCTCTTTGTGGTATGACCTAATTGCATTGCTTCTGAGACATGTGCACTTATGTGGTACTGACACACAGGTATTCAATAATATCTGTTAAACAAATGGGCATTCATTCTAGCTTGTGATAGAAAGAACAGCAGTATGGGAAAGAAATTTATCCTGAAAATATGGTATCAACCTTCTTCCTTCCATCCTTCATGCTTTGTATGCTGATGAATAAAATGAGAGGGGCTTCCCTAGGGTATTCCAGCTCTATTCCTCACATTCCTTCTTGGCTTCACCTCCAACTCTAAGCCTCTGCCACCTAGGCCCTCTGCCAGATTTTTTTGTACTAACATTGTGTTTTCAATGAGAACTCCCTAAAATCAGTGCCAACTCACCTTTATTTGTTGCTGTTTGTTTTGTGCTGTCAAGTCGCTTGTGACTCATAGCAACCCTATTTACAACAGCCTTGAAATTTGCTCTATCCTGGGCCAACTTTACTGTCACTGACATACCTGCCCTCATTATCCCAGTCACTATATCAATCCATCTCACTGATGGTCTCCTTCTCTTTCTCCCTCCCTCCACCCTTCCAAACATGATGTCCCTCTCTAAGGACTGACCCTTCCTTGCAACATGCCCAAAGTATATCAGATGAAGCCTCAGAATCTTTGCCTCCAAGGAGCATCCTGGTTTAACCCTCTCTAGGATGAACCTGTTTGTTCTCCTGGCAGTCCATGGTATGTATATTTAATACCCTTCTCCAGCACCACAGCTCAAAGGCATCAATTCTCTTTCTATCATCCCTTGTCCAGCTCTCTGAGGCATAGCAAGCAACTGTGAAGACTATGGCCTGAATCAGGTGCATCTTAGTCTCCACACTGACGTCACTGCTCTTCAATACTCTAGAGAGGTCCCTCACAGCTGACTTTCCCAGTGCAGTTCGTTTTTTACTTTCCTGGCTGCTGATACCAAGAGTGCTGCTGTGGACAATCTCAATCTCTTCACCATATCACAGTGCTGCCAATCAGCCCAGTGGTGAGAATCTTTGCTTTCTTGATGTTGAGCTTCAATCTATATGTCTACTCACCTTCATTTAAAAAAAAAAAAGAGAAATTCTAGAAGACCGTTTTCCAAAAGATGACTTGCAAAACTTGTCACGAATGACAGTTTTTCTGGTATAGCTCTTCCTCTCTTTCCTATGCTAATGATGTAGTCAGCTATGTCTCAAGCGGTGAAAACTGAGAAGCCCACCCAGGGTCTGACTTAGAACATAGAGCAGGATCCGAGGACTGAGAGTCTCTTTAACCAAGCACAAGGAGGCATCAATCAATACTGTTATGATTTACTTACCAGTGGACTAGGGTCTGCCTGAGAGAAGATGTAACGCAGAAAAACCCCCAGGTGAGCTGGATGTGACTTAAGTTTCTCAAGATCCTGGAATATGATGTCACTCTGGAAGGTAGAAGGATGCATACAGCTGTGAGGCATAGAGGCAGCACACAGAAACACAGCCTGTTCCAGCTTAGCTATCATCCACCTCCAGGGTTTAAACGCTGTGTCTCCTGCCCCTATGCTCTCATCCCAACTGACATCAGCCAAACTGCTCCCGTGGAGAACAGCTTGACTTAGAGCAGTTTGTGTGACTGAAGAAAATGATGAAAAGAGAAAGCCAGGAAACCGTTACCTCGTTGTTGAAGTAACCGGGATCATAATCTTCCTCTGGGCCAATAATTAAAGGCTTTGGGCTTTGATCTGTACCCTGGGAAAGAGAATCAAGTTGTAGACATTAGAGGACGGATAGCTCAACCCCTTCAGTGAGGTCTGTTTAGTAATAACAGCACAGTACTCACAGGGAAAGTCACACAACAGGTCTGGTAAAAGATGGCATTTCAACACCACCCCCAAATCTCAGAGAACAGATGAAATGATTTCTACTCTGTAGAAAGTCAACTGCTTCTGGGTGGGGCAGAGCAGCCTGGTCACATGATATGTGAAGATGGGAAGTGGGAGAAAATGGTCTCTTCCTGTTTGTGAAAGATCTGGGGAGGGAGTGTCAGGCAATACCTACGTATCTATTACTCCAACAAAACCAACAGCTAACATTCTTCTCAAAGAAAAGATACAAGAATTTCTTCTGAGAACAGGTACCAGACATCATTCTTATACTATAAGGCAAGAAAGTGAGGGAAAAGGGAGTCTAAATAGATAAGGAACAAAACCCACCCCTTTCTGCAGATGATATGATGGTATACATAGAAAATCCCAGAGAATACACAAGACAGGAGAAAGAAAAGATTCAATAAAGTGATCGAGTACAAGATTAATACAGAAAAATCAGTTGGACACTACACAAAATTGCTGTTGCTGTTCAGTGCTGTCAAGCTGATCACTATGACTCACAGTGGTCCTATAAATAACAGACTGGAACTCTGTCCTATTCTATGTCATGAAATGTGCAAAGAGCTGGTGTTAGAAAGTCAAAAGGGATCAACTCGCTCGGCATTTCTTTAGCTGATGGAAATGAAGAACAAATTCAAGCCTTGAGTTGCAATACTTGGTGGCCTAGAGGCAAGAAGCTGTGCTGTAATCCCAAAGGCATGTGCTTCAAGGCCACCACCTGCTCCACAGGAGAAGGATCATCAGTCTCCTCCTGTGTGATCAACTGCCTCTGAAAACCCACTGGAGGGTCAGCTATGGGTAAGATCCAACTCTATGGTACACAACAACAACAACAAGATGAGCAGAATATTGAATGATCCAGGAAGTATCAAAGGAAGATGGAAGGAGTTCAGAGTCACTGTATCAAAAAAACTGGCGGGCATACAAAAATTTCATGAAACAACCAATGACCAACAAATAATAATGATGCAAGACATTCAAGGTGCTCGGAAGGAATTGGCACAAACAAGGCCCCAAGAATTGATAGCACATCAGGTCATATACTTTAACAAACAAGACACAGCCCTGAATGCACTCACCAGGTTGTGTCAAAAAATCTGGAGGACAACTAACTGGCCAACTGAATGCAAGAGATCCTTATTTATTCCCATTCCAAAAAAAGATGACCTGACAAAGTGTGGAATTATTAAGCAATATCACTAATATCACATGCAAGCAAGATCCTGCTGAACGTTACCCAGAAATGATTGGAACAGTACCGGATATGCAAGCTGGGTTTAGCAGAGGCCATAGTTTTAGGGACATTATAGCCAATGTTAGATGGCCCTTAGCTGAAAGCAGAGAGGACCAGAGGAATATCTATCTATGTTTCATTGACCATGCAAAGGCATTTGACTGGGTGGATCCCAACAAACTGTGGCTAACCTTGAGAAGCATGGGAATCTCAGAACACCTGATTGTGCTCATGCGAAACCTATACTTGGATAAGGAAGCAGTGGTCAGAACAGAACAAAGAAACAATGCATGGTTCAAAATAAGGAAAAGTGTGGATCAGGGATGCAGCCTATCTCTACACCTTTTCAATCTTTATGTGGAACAGATCATTCAGGAGGCTGGACTTTATGAGGAGAAATATGGTATTAGGATTGGATGAAGACGCATCAACAACCTGCGATATACAAATGACACAACCCTGCTTGCCAAAACTAAGGAGAAAGTAAGCATTTGTTACAGAAGGTCAAGGACTGCAGTCTTCAATATGGATGGAAGCTCAACATCAAGAAAATAAAGATTCTTACCACCGGGCACCATGACAGATGGAAAAGAGATTGAGATTGTTAACAATTGTAGTTTGCTCAGATCCACAATCAACACTCTTGGTACATGCACCCAGGATATCAGAAAACAAATTGTATAGGGAAAATCTGCTGACAGAGACCTCTCCAGAGTACTGAAGAACAATAATGTCAGTTTAGAGACTAAAGTGTGCCTGATCCAGGCCATGGTCTTTGCAATTTCTTTCTATGCAACAGAGAGCTGGACAATGATTAAGGATGACAGGAAAAGAATTGAAGCCTTTGAGCTATGGTGCCAGATAAGAGTATGAAAATACCATGGACTGCCAATAGAACAAGCAGGTTTGTCCTGGAGAGGGTAAAAACAAGCTGTTCCTTGGAGGCAAGGATTTTGAAGCTGTCTCACATAGTGTGGGTGGTGATCAGGAGGGACCAATCCTTGGAGAAGGACATCATGCTTGGAAAGGTGGAGGGACAGTACAAGAAAGGAAGATCTGGATGAGATAAACTGACATAGTAACTGGGGTATTGGGGGTAGGTGTGTTGGAGACAGTGAGATTGGCTCAGAATAGGTATTCAGAGCTATTTTACACAGGGTCACTATGAGTCATAGGTGATTAAAGAGCACATCCAACAACAAGAAGAAGAAGAACAACATGCCAAATTCATGCTGAAGTATGTCAACTGGTATCCCACTGATTCCTGGGATCTTTTTCCAATGTCTTCAGTGCAAGCTGGAACTTCTTCCCTCATCACCATTGATTCTTTATTTTATGCTATTTCCTGAAATATTCCAGTGTCAATTTGTTTTCGTATAGTGACTCTGTATTCCCTCCATCTTCTTTTAAGGCTTACTGGATTATTCAAGATTTGACCTTGGTGTCTTTCAATACTGCAAGGGCTCAATTTTGTATGTGTATGTGTATGTGTATGTGTATGTGTATGTGTATGTGTATGTGTATGTGTATGTGTATGTGTATGTATGTATAGTACTTATATAGTACCTGTGGCAATGGGTTCAAATGTGTTGGGGATGATGAGGCTGGTGCAGGAACAGGCCAGGGTTCAGATGAGTAGTACTCAATAGCACTTAAATAACATCAGCCATCCTCATGACTTCTGCCATGCTCAAACCCATTGTTAGAGTCACTGTGTCAATCCATTTTGTTAAAAGTTTTCCACTTTTCCCAGTATGTCTTCATCCAAAGCCTATCACCTTCTGACAACAAGCCTAATTATATGAGACAGATTTTCATCTTTCTTACCTCGAACGAGCATGTTGGTTGTACTTTTTCCAAATAGATTTGTTTGTTCTTTTAGCAGTCTATGGTATGTTCAATAATCTTTGCCCACACTACAATTCAAAGGTATCAAGTCCTCAATCTTCTTTGTTCACTGCTCTACTCTCAGAGGCACATAAAGTAAATGAAAATATCATTGTTTGTGCCAGGTGCACAAAGGAAACAAAACCATTTATAACATTTTCTCAAAAGAGAAAATACTTAGGAACGAATCTAACTACTCACACTCATTGCTCTGAGTTCCACCTCACAACAGCCCTCTTCTAGGTTTCTGGGGCTGCCAATTCTAAGAGCAGACTGACCATCTTTCTTCTGAGGAGCAGCTAGTGGATTCAAACCTTGAGGGATGTGCAACTTCTGGCTTAGCAGTGCCAACTTGCTGCAGACTGTGCCATCAGAACTCTCTAAATCTAACTAGGGATATAAACATTTTATAGGAAGAAGATGATAAAACACTACTTCAAAAAAACCGAAGAGATCTACATAAATAGAAAATACACCAAGCTTGTGAATAGGAGGCTTATTGTAGTCAAAATATCAGTATTACTTAAAGCAATGTAGAGATCGAAATTCCAGCAACATTCCTTGACAAAATGGAAAAACTAATCACCATCACCAGCTTTATATGGAAAGAGGTCCCAGATAGTTAAAACAGAGAAAGAACAAAGAAAGTAGGCAGCCTCTAACTCGATCTTAGAACCTACTAAGCAGCCATGACAGTCAAAACACCCTGACTCTGGTACAGTGACACATACAGAGGCCAACGGAATAGAACCAAGAACCCAGACATAAATGTATTTACCTATGAACAGCAAATCTCTGACAAAAGTTCAAAGCCTATTAAATGTGGAAGAGAAAGTCTTTTTTAATAAATGATGCTGGCAAAACTGGCTATCTATTTACAGAAAAATGACACTGGATACATACTTCTCGTATCACCTTAATGGATCTAAATGTAAAACCTCAAACTAAAATTCATAAGGACAAACACAGGGGCCCTAATTTTTTTTCCCCATAAATAGACAATTATCACTAAAAATATAAAAACAGCAGATCAGATAACTTAGGCTAACTAAAAATTAATATTTATATGCACCACAAGAGGGAGCTCTGGTGACCTAGGGATAAAGATCTGTGCTGCCAACCCAAAGGGATGTGGCTCAAATCCACAAGGCGTTCCATGGGAGAAAGATGGGCAATCGCCCCTGGTGCAATTTATTGCCTTGGAAAACCCTCTGGAGGGTCAGTTATGGGCCAGTTCAGACTCCAGGCACATATCAACCAAACAACTCATGAAAAGAGTAAAAGGAGAATATACAGATTGGGGAAAAATGTTGGTATTGACCTATCCTGTACTATCTGAAAAAGGTCTTATCAGTAAAAGTGATAAAAAATTTTTAATATCTAATAACAAAAAGAAAACAATCTCATTAAAAAAGTGAGTAAAGGACATGAAGAGACACCTCACTAAGAAGACGAGCACATGACAAGATGCTCACAATCATTAGGCACCACAGAGTGGTCATTCTGAACAGCTGTCTGCTTGCTGAGGGAACCCAGGACAAGACTAGGGGCTGGAAGTGAGGAATGGGAATACTTTTTTCCTTTTCCCTGCCATTCTGTTCTCTCCTTTTAAGCTTTTTTCTTCTTTTTCTTTTAATTCTGAGTCTTCTTAATTCTGTACCACTCTCAGTTTTAGTTTTTCTATTTTCTTTTACCATCTATTCAGGTCTTTTGTGTTTCCTGTTTTTTGTTTCTCTTTT